GGCTCCAACTATTGGAAATGAGACTACAAGGTACAGAAAATTGTCGGGAAAAAATGACGAGAGGCTTTATAAATTAAAGACCACTGTACCAAAAATAACAGCTTGGAATTTTTAATATCATTTTCGTGAATTCCCAATTGCCTGTGTTATTATACTGCAGAAGAATTTGAAAACAACAGAACTTGTATGTTATGACCAAATTAAGGCCTTTTTTACACACACGTGACTTACTTTGTCGCACGACAATGTGTCCTGTTTATATAAATATGCACAAATCAATGAGCGTGCTTACACTTGCGACTTTTCGTGCTATTTTTTTTTTTTTCAATTAAATTCCAAGTGATTTTATCGTATGACACAAAACGTCACATACGTATTTCACCCAGAACCTGTGCCTGAACTGATTTGGTTGCAAAAGATGGACGGAAAAAATCACACGACATATCATGCATTTGTGCAAACACAAACGCGTATGCGACATTGCTATGCGACATAGTCTTTGTAACAAAACTGTGTGTGTTGTAATAGGACTTTGGAGGATCTTCATTTTAATTCATTTTGAAAAGTTGAACAAAGAAATTGATTGGAGCGGGATTTGAACCTGCGACCTCCGGATTGCTATTCTGGTGCTCTACTATGCTATCCTGTCCTATGTCATGTATGTTCGCAGTTCCCAATTAGTTGATATATCTAAAAGAAACTAGTCATTGTCCCTTTGTGGTTCATTTGAAAATTTAGTTTTAATCCAGTTAAAATATACATAATATATGCTCAGAAATGTTACTCCATACCATCTAGTGGTAAAAAAGCAATGGTTTCTAAGATGGCCGCCAAGCATGAGGTCTACAGACTACATTGGAAGCAATATTTAGAAAGTCATTACGATTCTTTCTTAAGTTTTTCGTCATCTTTCACCCAAGATACCAACCGGTCTCGTCAAGATGACATCACCGATGCCAGCAACCTGAGGGTCCTTCACCAGGAGAGACTATTGTCCAGCAAGTTGGCCGAGTTCCTGGACTGCCATGTCGAGTACACCATGCGCAAGCTGGGCTCCACTGAACTACAAAACCTGTACATTGGCCCAAACAAAGGTGAGTGCTGGTTTGGAATATGTACATTAAAGGTATGTCTGTGCCATTTTAAAAAATATTAATAATAATGATTATAATAAAGGCATTTGTATGGCGCTTTATGTAACATACCTCAAAGTGCCTCACAATAAAAACTATAAAACACAGGCAATGAAACTACTTAAAATGAAAATATAAAAGTCCTTAAAGTGCTACAGTGATAAGAACTAAAACATGGAAGCAAACAAAACTGCAAATGCAAGTTAATTTGCCAAAAGAAAACAATTAAAAACTAAAATAAAAATGCAAAATCAAAAGCATTTAAAATATCAATTATTAATAAACACCACATGCACCTTAAAGTGCTAAAAGTAAAATAAATCCAATGTAACACGGGAAAATTGGCAACAAAATAAAAAAAAAAAAGGTAACATGCAACACATAACGCCAACCAAAAAGCAAAATGCAGAGAAAGTAATCACTACATGTGTATAATGCAACACGGAACGACAAGCCATTTGAGCAACAAAATTGAATTCTTAAGGATGGTTCCACAAAGCTATTCCTGTTGAAGTTTCAGCTCAGTGGATACTTCTCAAGAAATTGCAGATTCAGTAAAAATGGTAAAAGTTAAAACTTTTGGAAGGTGCATGGAGCAAGATGATTGTGTTTTAGGTCTGCTTTGCTGAAGTGTGTCAATGTGTTTTTCTTGAACAAATGACGACTTTTATGATGGTCTGTGTTGTACAATTTTAGCCAGATTTTCATTCTTTAATTCATGTTATTTTTTAACTTCAGGGCAAGGAAGCCAAGATGCCTTCTTCACATCTCAGAGCAAGGACGGTAGACCCCATCCAACAAAAGGAGGAACACAGGTCAATGACTACCTGACATACGGCTGGTAGGTTATCATTCAAATTTTACTTTGATGGTCTTTAAAATTGCTCCTCCAATTATTCTCTTTCTAACAAAGTAAATTTATTTTTTTTTCTCGAAATGACTTTTTAAAAATAAAATGTGTTTATTTTTACAAAGAACTACATGTAGTTCTTTTCCTATTTTGGACATCTACATTCCTCTAAAAAAGGCTTTTATTTTGGTAGCTATTGAGCTTCTCAGCACAAAAAAAAATCCACCTAAACTATTGTGGGGCCGGAAATAACTCAACAATTTAGATTATTCTTTAACTAAACATGGCCAAATTTATAATTTGATGTCTCACTCAAAAGCGAATAACTTTTGTATTGCTAGGAAAACAGCAATTTAAAAACTCATTTTTTGGGTGAAACCCTAAAGTAGTACAAGGAGGGTAATTTTGACCCTCCCAAATGCTTAAAAATACATTTGGAGGGTTGGACAAGGATTTTGAAGGATTGCGTATTAAGGTTTCAAGGGAAAGCACCTTCAGATTAAAAGTTGAAATAATCAGAAATGTGTTACTCGTTATTTGTAGTTTATACAACGTTGCCAGCGATCCTCTGGGTGAGTACAGCTCAGTCGTCCGTCGTCACTGGACTTGTCCCCATTGCACCGAGACCTTGATCATCACGACTCTCGAGAAACTTCAGCACGAGGCAGAATGCCTGCAACACTCTCAAGGTGAGGAAATACTGCTTTACTCGCAGATGGTGATACAGGTATAGAATTTGGCACACAGAGTATGCCATGAGAAAGATGTTTGGCTAAAGCGCCATCACAACTTTGTCCTTTGAAAATATAAAGGTAGAATAACAAGCAAAGGCAGCCATTTTGAAAGGTTTGAAAATTGCTTTTTATCACCAGAAATTGTCAAACAGGCGGCCATTGCTTGTAGGTTTCTTAAAAGGAAAAATGAAATTATACAACAAGAGGAATGAGCTTCACGTCAACTGACAAAAATTAAAACCTTATAGAAATATTGACTTTCACACATTTTAAAAAATTGATTTGATCTTTTGTCACTTTTAGGTGCCAAAGACGAAGCACAAGTTGCTGCAGAGAAGACCCTGAGTAACCATGGCAACAGCAGTGGCATGGCAACACTGACGCGGCAGTATCAGTGTCCCACCTGCAATGAGGAGTTCTCCCTCACATCATCGGAGATTCTGAAACACAAGAGGATGCATGCAAAGGAAACGACAGCTGATGCATAACACAAGTCTCAAGTCACAATACCATAGGTCACTAACTATCTCATCGTAATGTGAAATTTGGATTCCCCCAACAACAAAATAGACTCCTACATGTACAGGGTGGTTAAAAAAAAAGGATATCCACTTCTGACAGCAATTTTCACTTACTTAGTTGACTTATTTCAATTGTTTCTTCACATGGTAGTAAAGTATAGCCCTTTGACCATGCATGCATGAAAAAAGCTCAGTATGCTAATTTGAATACAAGTCACCAAAATCAGTCTTGTCCACATGTTATTGTATGTATTAAATTGGGTGTTTTTGTAGTTCACAAAATTTAGAAACCTTGAAAGTTTTGACCAGGTAACTTTTATTGAGGCTGTCCGATTATTCATCTAACCAAGGAGTTTTAGGCTTAAGTTCATGTTTCATAACATTACATATCAATAAAGAAAAAGTAGAACCAACAATCCTTGTTTGCAGCATGCTAATATTTTGTCTTCAAATCAAGCTCTGGTAGCTGAGCTTGGTCAATCAGATGGAATGTATACCTACATGGACATACAGGTTTCGCACATGACTCAAACTACCATAGCTCAGGGACAAAACATGCAATAGCAACAAGTTTTTCGTCACTTATGGTTCTTCTTGGTTGGTTCTTCTCCTAAATACTCCACGTGGGAGTTTATACAGGAGGCTAGAAACACCGGGGCAAACCCCTTCTCTTAGCGATAAGTGTTTACTGGGTTCTTTTACGTGCATTTATACAACACACGGGACCTACGGCTTAACGTCCCATCCGAAGGACGAAGCAATAATGGTTAAGTGCCTTACATAAGAGCACAAGTGTCCGCCGGCGGGCTCGAACCCACGTCACTGTTGCCTCTGAAACACCAGAACGCGAGTCTGGTGTTCTTAACCGCTAGGCCATCACACTCACTTATGCAGAAAGGCCAGTACTTTAATTGCTTCTAATCAAAAGTTTAAAATAATTTAATATGTTTCAAATAATTAGGTGAAAACTGCTGTCAAAGGTGAATATCCTTTATTTTGAACCATCCCATAGTATATCAGTGCAAAGAACAAAAAAGTATGGGGAAACAATACATAGGTGAGGAGCGTTGGTTTTTCACAGATCTCAATAGGTCATCAGGATCTGTCAACTGGCAGATTGTCTCAGCCACAAGTCACATTGCCTGAAATAAGATTTTTTTAACCATAATAAAATTGTCATAATTCTTGTCCATTGATGTCCATGTGTGTGTACGTTTCTTTTAAAGCTATGTAGTCCATCATTTGCAGCCATCCGAAAAGTAACAGGCGTAATTATGAAAAACAAACTTGGTTGAAAGATAGTAAGGTAACTAAACTCCCTGTGAAATTATTCTTTCTGGGAAGCTGTCATTTTGAAGTAATCAACGAAAGAAGACCTGCCCAACGGTGCGTCTTAAGACGCACCGTAGGAAAATTTAAATTAGTAGTTCGCTTTGTTATTCGGCGAAGCGCGCGCAAGCATTGGCACGACGCACACGTATGCGCGCTTGCTATAATTCGTTGGATCAGTGCGCGACGTCGCGTATAGCTGCAATTCAAAACAATTCAAAACATGATTCAGTAACTTATGATTTGAAATTGAGATCCTAGAATGCTGTTTTTTCTCGGAATATACAGCTGAAGCTGAGCTGAAACTTCATCAGGTTAGTTGTTCAGTATCCTTCATTAGATTTTGAACACTTTTGTTGCTTCAAACGAACAAAATGCACAAATTACAAATGATGGACTATATCTTTTAACAAACAAAGCTTCCCATAATTGATTCTTATTTAAAATAAGATGCATATTGTGGCATCTTTATTTAATATCCCAAAATGATTAGAATAAATTTAAGCAGTATAAAAAATTATGATCAAAACATTACGAACATTTCAGGCTGGAATCATCCTGATGTAAAAGCATCAGTAAAAATTTACTAAAAATCAAGGTTTCTTTGCATGTTACAAAATTTGACTGTACATTAAAAATAACATTGTTTAATCTTCAGATCAATACAGAAATTACGCAATTTAAAAAAGTATTAAAAAAAAAAAGTGCTGATGTGGAAATTTGAAAAGTTAATATACATTTTCCCGGCTACTTTAAAACATTTATCATTCATATTCACTGTTTCTACACTGTATATTCAAATTCGTCCAGCAACATCGATTTAGTGCACTTCCAATGTTTAATTTTATCTTTTGGCGGACAATTTCAAATTCAATTCAAGCAAATTGAAACAACGGGCACACATTTTTGTCCCAGAGTATTCCATTTCGTCTCGTGTACGCCAAACCTTGTTATTCAGAAATCAAATTCGTCTAACTGATTTATAAATTCGATCTCAGAATGATGCCATTTGACAACAGCTTAGAGGAATTTGATCTGTAATGACGAATATTCTCGACCCAGTGACTAAAGAGGATGATCAAACTTTAAAATTTAATGGTTAATGACTAAATGTGAAATTTTTCGTGGACAAAATTGAATGTTGGAGTTGGTGTATTTGAACAAAAAATCTTTTCAAATAGCCAGGAAAGCCGATACTGAAAAGTGCTGATTGTAGTTAAATATACCTCCACCTAAAATATTTAACTGAAAAAAAGGTATATTGCATGAACAGATAGGAAATGACTATTACCATGGGTGTCTATCATTTTTATAACCTTTATTTTTTCAGTTGTGTTTACAAAGGTATATGGAAATTAAGTGTCTTTTAATATGGTCTTAATTGAAAGATTTGTACAGAAAAGAAGATTAAAAAAAAAATTTCAATTTCTGGTACATGATTTGTAAGCAAGAATACATGTGTAAATCAAATTTCACGATAATACTACAACTACATGATTCACTTGAAAGCTGAATATATTTGTGATTAAAAATTTATTTATTAAAAAAAAAAGCTACCATAGAGCTGGAAAATGATTGATTTAGAACCTTTATCACTATCTATCCCCAGTCAGAAAATTAAAAATATATATATTTTAAATGAATACAGTTGAGGAAGGCAATTAGTGAAGAGCGAATAATCAGTGCAATCCAGCAATTCATCCAACTTTTTGATTCCATTCCTGGTTCCGGAGTTCCACCCGTCGGATTTTACCGCTTACTGTCTTGGGAAGAGACTCCATGAATTCAATCTGAGTGGACAAGAAAGAGGAATAACACAATCTGATTCAGAAATTTGCATCGGGGTGGTGTAAATTCAATATTAGGTTTTGCCCTTCACTGACGTATAAACACTGTATACTCCGTATAAACACTGAGTATACAGTGAAGGGCAGAACCAGTGCTAAATCATATTGCACAATAAACTGAACTTTCTTTGTTTCTCAGCGAATGGAAAATTAACATTAGAAATTTAATACAAAAGAAATTCTTGGTAAGGCCAAAAAAAAAAGTCTCCGGTTTCTGGTATGCGCGCGCGTCGCCGTAGCCATGCGCGTCGGCAAAATGAAAAAGTTTTTTTTTCAATGAAAGATGATGTCTCAAAACCGCCAAACTCACTGGTTTGACTGGAATCCTGCTGCTGCACAATTTTAACGTGTTTTTAGATGGGGTTATGATCGAGAATAAGCTTTATGTGGCCTCTCTGGTCTCCCATAATATTTGCACTAAGTTTAGTCGGGCACCATTTGCAGTCATCAGCCGACATTTGAAGCAAAAAAACAGGTAAAAATAAACAAAAAAGCCGCGTCGCCGCACCACTTTTTGGGCAAGCTCCATACCAGAAACTGGAGTTGGCCTAAAGAAACGCGACTCGCAATACACAAGTCCTCAGTTTGAAGTCTAAATCCTGACTGCCGGAGTCTAAGTCCGATTCTAATACCAACGTGATTTTACAGCAATTAGGACTTGATATGGACTCCAGAGTTCAGGACTTAAATCATACAACTTTGTTGGTCTGACCAGAATACCTTGCGAGGGTATTTATAAGGCGCCGTGATGCTCTTCACGTGGTTCTGTATTTCCTGCGTCAGCTGCTCTTTGTCTTCAGACTTGTAGTCTGCAGTCAGTACAATGAAGGCCTTGACAACCTGCATATCAGATAATTAGGATTGAGAGTTAAAACAGAAATGGCGAGTAAAGCAAGGCTAATTGGTACTTCACTAGCCATAACTGCCCCGATGAAGGTGTATACACTTGGTGTGTTTGTTTAGCTCACCCGACACGATTAGCTCTGACATCTTTCTCTGGGCTCACCCACCACAGACCCTGCTCGTGGAGCAGAGTCAGTGGTGGAAATACGTTACACACATGCGTTGTTCATCCCTAGAAACGGACAAATGTGGCGGCCGGGCAGCGGAAATGTCTTACAATTAGTGGACCCAAAAATCAAATTTGTTTGAAGTCTAAAGGTGATTAATTATTTAGTTCATTGCGACTTTACAGGCTATAATTCTAGACCAACTTTTTTGAATTATTAAATTGACTGAAAAGCAGTTAATCTCAAATACCCAACACGAAACGGCATTTTGTCAGTAGTTATGGCCGCGGCCATGGACATCGCGTGATGATCACGTGGCTTATCCATCTGTCTTTAATCGAGTCGATCCCGGTGAGCTACTCAAATGCCCCCACTGAAAACTTGGCCACAGCTACCCGGTGAGTACTGCTTGACTTCTGTTACTCGTGTTTTAAAAATAAGTATACATGTTGATAAAACAAATCACCTCTCCCCTCTTTGGGTCCGGTGAAGAGACAACTGCCGATTCCGCTACTGCCGGGTGCTCAATGAGGGCGCTCTCTACCTCAAATGGACCAATCCGGTACCTTATCAACACATGCAATTTATAATGAAATTACTTTGCGATAAAAACAAATTTAAGAAATCACCAGAGCTATCACATGAAAGTCAAATGAAACCACAGACCCGTTGCACTTAGCAATCTGCAGAATCGAGGAATATTTAATAGCATCATACCCTGATGTGTTGATGATGTCATCACCGCGTCCAACAAACCACAGGTAACCGTCATCGTCCGCGACTGCTCGGTCTCCTGTGAGGTAGAAATCCCCACGGTATGCCCTGGCTGTCCTCTCTGGATCATTCTGGCATGGCATAACATTGGGGGTTATATTATGTGTTACTGCTCAAAAAAAAAAAAGTAAGGTAAAGTCTGTCACAAGCCAATGTGGCCCATCAGGCAGGGGTTTATCCCTGGTTTCAGTGGTATGAAACGACTGATGAGAATATTTCTATTCCCCCTGTACAGGATGCTAGTCCATCGCAGGTTACTCCCCAGCTAATGCCGGTACCCATTTATACTCCGGGGTGAGAGGCAAGTGGGGATGAAGTGGCTTGCCCAAGGCCACAACATGTGGCCATCAGCCAGATTCGAACCCCTGACCCTCTCATCATGGGTCACAAACCCTAAACACTGGGCCACCCATACTGGAATTTGTATCCTTGTGGCGACATTTCTTTGTTCTCATGAAGTAAAGTATTCGAGTTTGAAATTGTAGTTTCAAAATGCTCTTATTTTAACCAGAATTAATTTCCTTGGCTGAAATTTGGACATAATATTCCTTTTCTAAAACTCTTCCATTTGCGACGGATCAACATACCTTGGAAATTCCTAGTTTTTGAGTAAAATCCATATATCTATTTCGTGAAAACCTTGTGGAGACGTATTCATCTATAGAAATTGCCCTGAGGAGACGTATACAATCTTTTGTTCCCTATTTTGTGCATGTCTCCAGAGGGCACAGTGTATCAGATCACACTCCCCCACTCAAAACACACATTAATAACATGTTATCAACTGTTACTTGTAATAAACTTTGAGATGAGATCTAGAAATAAACATTTTAGGTGAATTATGTATTACTACCTGAACTTGTGTTCCTAGAGACCTTGTCACACAGTTCTATGAGTAATATCAAACTACCAGGTCATCAACTCACCACATAATGAGAGAAGAGTCCAACGGGACGGTGGGGCTTGACTCTCACCCCAATGTCCCCCTCCTGTCCGTGAGGGAGTTCGTTGCCGTCTTCATCCACAATACTGATATCAAACCCAGGGGCTGCCTTACCCATGGACCCTGATCTTGGCTCCAGACACCTGAACATGCCTGTCAGTAGCACCTGTAAAACAAAGGATACCAATTTGTTGAATGTTGTGGACTGACCTTAAATTTCTGCATGAAGGAGGTGGACTGTACGAAGCTTTCTTCCTTGACTGAAACCATCCCAGCAGTACAGATGCAGAGTTTGAGAAAATGTCCTTGTAAGTTAGGCCACAAAGCTATTGACATCAATTCGCTGTAGCCTGTGACTTAACTTGTGTCTGACCTGTGATATGATTTGTGATTGACTTGAGAGCAACTCTGCCCTGCAACGCAGGGGCATTTTCAAGGGTAGTCAGCTAATAAGAGGGATAGACATTTCTCTGAATGAATGGATCTTGTCGCAGTAACCTTATATGGATGTAGAATTATGAATGGGGTGAAGTCTGAGCATGAAAGCCGGCCTCAGGTCGAACTTGCCACGACACAGATCAGTCGACGATTGACTTTTCAGAATCAAGCTGTGTTTGAGCTACGACCGTCGGGAACAACTCAGTCGCCGATCTTGTGCGACCTGAGTGAAACTGCGACGATATAGTCACAAGAGTAGAACAATTTCAACTTCTGCGACGTGTTCCCCGACAATCACACGATTTCTCAGTTTTGTGACTTTGATGCCGACAGTTCCGTCCTTGGGCAATTTTCGTGGGTCGACCTGGGGCCGGCTTTACACACAAGTTAACATTTTAAAAAGCTTCAATGTTCTGACTTAACTGTTTCTGTCTGTCCATATCCCTCATGGATCATGGAGCCTGTGCCTGCTTTCCAAGATTCCATCACTTCTGGGTTCTGCTCACGAAAAAGAAGAAAAAAAAGAAGGGCATCAAAGCCTTGAGGCTTCTCGCCAGGGCTAAAGTAATCCAAAAGCTATACTTGGGTAAACGGTGAGTCATTTCGTGAAACACATACAGGGGTGTGAGTGACCACTGATAAAAATAGCTGAAAACAGCTAAAAAAAAGTGTAAACAAGCTGAAATTTTGAAATCTTCTATACTTTTGTACACAGCAAGTGAGGGAAAAGGTTGAAAAAAAGCTGAAATCCAAAACAAAAAAAGCTGAAATCAGCTTTAAAGCATATAGCTCAGCCATCCCTGATAGCCTTTGTTCGTTACCCAATTGCAACCAGTCCACCTGTAACCAGTGGGTCCAGTGATAATAATGCAAATAAGTTAATGGCAAACAAGAGAAAGGAAGAAAATGCTACAAAACAAGTGTCAACATGTGTTTCTATAAGTGAGAGGTTTGCGGTAACACCATGTGGAAATATCTCTTTTGTGAGCATGTGTGGTTCTGAAGAGAACCTGTTGGATTAACTCAACGTTTCAAACAGTATGCTCTGTTCGTCATCAGCAGTTTCTCCTGATGACGAACAGAGCATACTGTCTGAAACGTCAAGTTAATCCAACAGGTTCTCTTCTGAACCACACGTACTCACAAAAGAGATATTTCCACATGGTGTTACCGCAAACCTCTCACTTATTGATCTATTATTGATCTCACCAGGGGTTCCCCAGCGCTGACGGTATGCCGGATTGACTTGAGGTTATACTTGCTCAGATCTTCAAGCACCATCATGCGGTATGCTGTGGGAGGAGCGCAGAGCGTGCTGACTGGGTACTTATGAAGCAGCTGTATTAAAAACAAGGGTAGGAAATTATCACTGAAACATCAATAAAATTCAGATCCTCACTATGAAAATCTTGATCTTCAATCAGAATAAATGTGCAAACAACTTAATTTGTTTTTCAACCTTTGCAATAATAGCCGATATTTACTGGGAGATTCGCAATTCATTTTCTTGTTAAAACTTCCTCAGCTCGTTAATATTTTGACCAAAAAACTAAAATTAGACAATCACACCGTGTAAAAAGAAACATTGGTTACAGAAATTATAAAGTAACAAGTTACTTTTACAGTAACAATATGACAATTTGTTTTTTAAAAGAAAAGAAAATGGAAGTTTTGCTTAGTAAAAACTGGTTACCGCATAAAAATGTTTGATCTAATTTGATGGAGACTACCATGCAACTTGTCTGCTTAGCATTTTTTATTAACTAAATTCCATCAAATTGGTTCTTGCCCATTTTATAGCTGATGCCATGCGAATCAATGCAGTTTTGCACAATCACGTGTGTGTCGTGGTGATTCGCCATCTTTATTTTCGCGTTGCGTTTTGTAGTCTTCATCGTCAATATACCCTAAAATGTCCCTCTAAAAATCAAAACACTGCCCTTTACCCGCGACTCTCCTGTTGGTCTTAAATGTTGCTGTAAACTAGTTTGGTAAATCCAATAACCTTAAAGTGGATTTTTGTTCTTTAATAGGAACAGGGCCTGTAAGTACACAATCATCATTATTATTGCCTATACCTCCAGTGTGTGGACAGGATCAAACCTCGCCGTGTAGCTTATGAAGACACACGCCCCCTGGGCCCACGGACCAAAGAAGTTACTGTAGGCTGACTTGGCCCAGCCGGTGTCGGACATATTCCAATGGATGTCAGTTGGAGTCAGATCCAACCAGTATCTGAGAGATATTAAGAGATTAAAGGGTAAGTTTGGATTGGGCTGTTTGTATGTAAAGCTACTTTTTCGCTACTTTGGTTTACCATGAGACCCACAGCCATTTTGGTGTAACCATCTTGGAAAGCTTTATTAGCCAGAAAATGGACAACACAATCCCGGAAGTAACGAGTAAGTCACGCAGAAAGTGCACAGACATACAGTGTATATAATGGTGAGCGCCGATTAGCAGGATTGTACTGCCAAAAGCAACTACGTGTATATTTGAATTGTCAATATTCCTTTCACATTCAGCTGACCCTAAAAGCACATGCACAAAGCTTTACATAATATTGGATGGCATTGAGAGGGATACAAGAACATATTTCACGAGCTACAACAATATTGCATGAGTCGAAGATAAGTGCAATAATGTTATAGCGAGTGCAATATGAAATGCCTGAATAAATCCTGTCATATATTATTTATATCAGGCTGACTTGATCCGCCAAAAATTTCATGACACTGTCTATATTTCTCAAATTTCTACGAATAATTCTTCGCTTGATACTTAAGCAATTTTCACGCAATTTACATTTGTGGTTGTTAACAACAGTGCGTGTATACCCTGCTGCATGTGCGTGCGACGGTACCGCATGCTACGCTCTGTTGACTGGTTGACAACTGTGAGTTTCTAAGCTCTTGACTGAGCGGGAACCAGTGAAATTTGTTAAAATGCTCGGATGAGGACAGTATCAAAAATACAATTGCCCTTATCACGGTACTTTTACTGACATAATGTTGCAGTAAACCAGGATTACATTTGACGAAAGCATGCAATATTCTGACTTACTTTCCTGTGATGAAGTGACCGAGACCATAGCTAGCATGTGTGTGTACAGCCAGCTTCGCCTTGCCAGTAGTTCCACTGGTGAAGAACATTGTCATTGACTCATCACTTCGAGTCTTGACACACTGAAAGTAAAACCAATACATTTCAAGGCTTGAAACTTTATTTTTAACCAGAATATAAAATCATTCATTGAATTACAAAGGACCATCTTACATATTTGAGAAACCAAGACACTTTGGTGAAATGAAAACAACTTTTTGTTAATTAAGAGAAAAGAACTGCGGAAAACTGGGCTGTTCTTGGTTCTCGGTTCTTGGTTGGCTCTTCTCCTAAATACTCCGCATGGGAGTTTTAACAGGAGGCCAGAAGCACCGGGGCAAACCCCTTCTCTTAGCGATAAGTGTTACTGGGTTCTTTTACGTGCATTGCATTGCACAACACACGGGACATACGGCTTTACATCCCATCTGAAGTACCTTGCTTAAGGGCACAAGTGTTCAGACCCAGGCTCGAACCCATGCCACTGTTGCCTCTGAAACACCAGAGCATGAGTCCGGTGCTCTTGACCGCCAGGCCATGACACTCCACTTTGGCTGTCCCAAAGGCGAAATAAGTATCTGAATGTTTCAAGGGCGGATCCAGAACACAATTTTGGGGGGGCCAAAAAAAATTTAGGTCCCCCAAAAAAGTGGGTCTAAAAAATGACGGCGTGGGGTTTGGGGGCCGCGAGGGCCCCGAAATTTTTTTGGATTCTAGATGCTCTGTGGTGCGATCTGAGGCAATTTCTGACCACTTTAACCAATTTTTTTTGAGGAAAAGATGGTGGTGTACTCATTGCCTGCCTTTATTGCGATGTCACATTAAAAAAAAAAAAAAAATTGGTTTCGTTTTGGGGGGGGCCATGGCCCCCTTTGGCCCCCCCCTGGATCCGCCCTTGGAATGTTTGGCAACACAGTGTAGCATGCTTTTTAAATGGTACAAGGGACCAATTGCGAATAACACACCTTGTGTTGACTGTCGGCTTTTTCGTACAGTTCGTGATAATCCAGCCATCCTGGTCTAGATTCACCACTGCTGCTTATGAGCAGTTTAGATTTCACACTGGGGCACTCAGATATGTACTGTATGCAAAAAGAGGGGAAAAAAACACCAAGGTTAGGAACATTTATAATTACCCACAAATGTACCTACTGATTTAAGGAGAAAAACGTTGCTCGAAGTAAAGATAGGTTGCCTACACATTGCCTTCTCTTATACTAAATAGCGTAGGAAATGTGTTTTTTACCTCATCTACAAGAGGAGCAGTGTGCTCATCTGTGATGATACAAGCGGTTTCCGAGCTTTGTAGACGGTACCTGATGTCCCGTGCTGTTAACTGTGTAGTACCTGGGATTAGTATGGTACCTGGACACAAAGGAAACACAATACATGGCGTTTGCCTGAGTACAAAATACAAAGTTCGTCTAAATATAAAGTACCTCTTTTAAAATTTGGATTCAAATGGGACTGCAAAGTACAGTTCATTTTGCTTTATTTTTTAATAAGCCTCTGTACTGACACACTTTGTTTACTTGTGCGCTTTTCTATGTGGCCACAAAACCACCGTCCCCACCAGGCTCCCATAAGAAAGCACACCATTACGTGAATCTCCCATTTGAGCTAGACCCGAGTTTGCCTATGACAAACTCGGGTCGTACCTACCGATTTCAGATTCAGCAGCTTTCAACGCGATCTCTCTTATCTGATCAAGAGTTAACGAGCCGTAAACAGGTGGTGTATGGTACCTCTGCCTGTGAGCTTACTGACAAAAAATATCTACCAAAGTCTACTAGGTTCTTGTTTATAATGTGAAGTATTTGGAAAAGTGTCAAAAGTTATTATGTGAGCAACTTTGAATCATAAAAATCGATCAAATATATCTCGAGATATCAAATAAGAAACAGTCCGACTTCAGCCATGCTCTTCAAGGCACACACACTGCAAGTAGTCCCGGCTACCAGATGTGCATGCCGTAATTGATAGGGCAATTACCACAGCTCATGGTCACTGGCCCTGGGGAAGTGGGTGCCAGGGTCGGTGTTTATCTTATAATTACTTTACTGATAACAGCTGATAAGAGTCACAGTGAAATCGGTAGGTACAGTTCAGGGGTTTTGGCAAATGGGAGTTTCACGTAATGCAAATAAGCAGTGTGTGACGTCATCGGTACAGACGTTTATTATCCTACATGTTTTGGTCATTTAGCCCGGGTTGCACTATTGACCCTGACAATTCTAGCCAAACACCAGCTCCTCTGACAAGAACCATATATCCCATAGTCTAGCGGGCCTTGCTGCAGGGGCATGCATGATCAATCAGCCTTGTCAACTGGAATAGTGCACAAGCTTGATTGACATGTTTCTCCAATATAGGACCCATCTTATGACAGATACCATATGGAAGTGTGGCTGGGGACCCAATGCAACTGTGTAGTACAAGCCTAAAACCCTGTGTGTAGAATGGCACCCCCCTCCCCTAACCCACCCCTCCCCCAACCCACCCAAGGGTAAACCACTTCAGGCATCAGACAGGGACTAAAACCCAATAATCCACTTGTCAGCCTTTGTTGGATGTGAACCCAGGTCACAAAGTTGGAAGTCCCTTAGCCTTGGTCAAGGCGCTAAATGTTATTCATCCCGGCCGTGGCGCGTAAACGATATCCTCGCTAGGGCCATGCATTATGCAGTGCATTAAAAATACAGCGCAAACAGCGACCTCATGCGGTCACCATTTCTATGCAAATTAGTTGGACCCGATATCGCGCCTTGGTTCAATCGTCGGCAAAAGCTTATGTTTTTCTTTATTTTGCGCTGGATTTCTAGCGCACAACCTCGTACGCGAATACAGATAAGTGTAGGCGGGGCTAATATACGGAGTGAAATCACACCTTGGTAAATCCAGGCGTCATCAAATTGTTTGCAGCTAGCTATTCGCCTTTTGCGGACGTAACAGGAACCACAGTTTTTGTGCATTGGTGCCGTGTGCAGAGACACATGTACGTGTACGTGTACTACGTGTATGGATTATGTACAGTGCCACGTTTTACTAAGCAAGTTTCCCCGCAACGATCGACCAATAAGAAAACGACATTTAAGGTCAGCTAAGGCTATTAACATAATGAGCACCACCCCCAAAACCTCACGTGGACGATTGAACCAAGGCGCTATATTGGGTCCAACTGATTTGCATAACAATAGTGCCCGTGTGAGATCGCTGTTCGCGCTGTATTTTTTATGCACTGTAAATGTACTGCATGCATAGCGCATAGACATTATGACTGCATGCATTAATACCGCGCTACGGCCGGATAAAAAACAACTAGCGCCTTGACCAAGGCTAGAAGTCCCTGCACCAACCTGACTCCCCAAGTTTTAAGAGCATTAAAACTATCATACATAGAAACAGTTTTTCGGGGCTTGTTTTTAGCCTGTGTGTTTTCTTACCTGTGCGTAAGCAGGCAATGTTGACAAGCCACCATTCGGGAATTCTGTGCAGTATGACCGTCACAGACTCATCCCTCGATAAGCCACAATCGTTGGTAAGTATGTTGGCCACTCTATAAATTACATTATCATAGTAAACAAATTTTATTCAAGTGTTTTTACTCAGACTTAATTTCCACAAGTTGGTGATACGCTATGACGGACTTTTCAAAGAAATTATTCTGTCAACAATACTGCAAAAGTTTAAAACCAAATTTAAAGTTTAGTGTTGAACCAACGTTCCGTTATGTACAAGCTGTTAGAAAATCAGTAAAGTTGGTCCAAAAGTAATTGTAATGCCTTCTCCTCTCCAATTGTTTTTTTTTCTGTTAAATATTTGGTTATAAAACAAACTCTGAATGAAATGGGAAACAATCTGCAAATATCAGTTTCACATCAACCACTTCATGTACTATGCTATCAATAAAAGTAGTAACACTTAGTAAAACCACCCTAATGTTTAATCTTTAGAATATTAATCACTATTATTTTCATAATAATTCAGTTATTTAAGTCTACTTATTTAAATTTAGTTATTTTTCTTTAGGTTTAAATTTAAACTTTAATTGTTTACTTACGGGATTTGGCCAAGTACAAGCTTTGGCTTTCTGCTAGCCTTCACCAATCATCACGTTTATTGTTTATTCCGTTTATAATTGCTCATTATTATAATTATGATGTGTGGAAATAAATGAAATCAAACCAAAAGCTATCCCGCTAAGCACCGTCGATATATCGATATTACTAGATTATTCGATATTATTGTGATATCGATAAAGCCGATAGCAATTTTTTCAATCAAATCAAAATATCAAAATTTTCGATATTGAGGAACGATATCGAAAATATTGAAAATGCGTCAGACTATCGTCAAAATAAATCTCCCATTTGTGCTTTTACTTTGTGTTTTAACGTTTGCTATAAAATAAAACTCGGCGGCAACTTGTGCTTGTGACTCGAGATAAAAACATCATGAAATGCGAAGCGACGTTGCTTTGTGCTCTGCGTTCGCTGGAATTCGCGGTCTCCCCAATGTAAAACCACAAAAGAAACCGCCCTTTTGGGACAAACGGTCAGTGCTGAGATTTTTTTATAAAGTTTGAGCAATATGCTCCAGAGAAAGCCATGAAAAATTGGGACTTAAGAATTTGATTTTTTTCAAATCAAAGTGTCATCTTTATAGTCTTTAACTTTTACATGGAATAATCGATATATATCGAATATTCTGGATACTGGATTTCCGATATATCGATTATTGACCATTCTGATATCGACGCCGATGTTGGGGCTCAAGTTTGCCGACATTCAAGGCGCGCCAGTCAGGCGCCATAAACCTTTATGTGTCTGTATAGCCAGGGGTCACACTCAATGTCATGATGCTAGCAACATAGGCAATGCTTCAAACTCTGCAAATGGGTAGTATTCTCAAAGAATGCAGCTTTATAGTTCAAACCATCACATTTAGCACTGATGGAAAAGAACCAGATTTAATTTATTCCTCTTTCTCTAACTTGAGAAATGAAAAGCTGCTGCAAACTGCTCAGTGATTGACCTACCCTGAAATGTATAAATCTTTAAAAGTAAGAGCATGCAACATTTCAGTCCCAGCAGGATTTTTCTAAAAGGCCTTTGGACAAAGCTAGGACTGAAAAGTCAGCCCTCCGACTTTTACACTTTTTCCTTACTTCTTTGATTTGTCCTGGAGATCCGTAAAACTCCACTTGATCTCACTTCCATGGTCGTCAATCCACCATAGGGCAGGGGTCTTGGAGCCCCTTGTGCCTGCCTGTAGAAAAGAAGACACAAATCAATTGTTCATGAAACTCATAATCAAACCTTAACCCTAACCCACCTCACTCCTCCAAAATCCTCCTGGCGGTTTTGGAGGATTCTAGAGGATTGAAGATGAATGGTGATTGAATCAAATGAGGATTCTGGAGGATTGAGGATGAATGGTGATTGAAGCACATGAGGATTTTGGAGGATTGAGGATGAATGGTGAATGAAGCACAAGAGAATTTTGGAGGATTGAGGATGAATGCATTTTGAGGCAGGACTGTCTGACAATTTTGAAAAATTTAGGCGGAGTTGAAAAATTTTGGAGGATTTTGGAAGATTGAGGATGGTTGTAAGCAACAAGGGCCTAGGGGGTTAGGGTTAAAGCAATTATCATGTATGTTTGCATAGGAGGGTTAATGGCTTGATGATGCAACTGACTAACCAGTAAGTTAAGTGAAATTAACCAGTTTGATTGACCCAATGAATTTATCAACCAGTTTATCTATTGATCAATCCAATCTGATCATTCAAAGCAGACAAGTTGCAAGTTTCTAATGTCAGGAACATAATTACATGTATTACACTTGCATTTAAATCTGCACCTGTTCTTTTTGCGCCCACTCGTCCAGAACATCACTGGCAAAGTTGAAGTGCTCAGGAACGTCCAGCTGAAACTGACGCCTACCAAGTTCGTAATCATTGAAACCAGTGGCTGACAGTGCAGACAGGAATGTTCTCACTGGCTGGTACTGTGTCACAGCTACTTTTAACGGATGTGATGTCCTGGTACAGCATGGCGTATAGTTCCTAAGTGTCTTGTTGGATGCCCAAACAAGTTTTCTTGAGTTGAGGTGCAGTTGGCGTATGCTTTGGCGAAACTGACCAATGTGCAACAGCCGACACTGTTTCAAAATGGCAGCCATTTTCACAGTGGCATCGGAATATCAGGCATCCTTTTGATCTGAAAAAATTGAAGTACACATACACTTAGAATGAAAAGAAATTCACATGTAGCAGCATGGATACTGATATAGGACTCTGTCATATTGATATAGAAATAATAGTTACCTTTCAGAGTCTGAAAGCTACGTCATGCTTAACAAAATCAGACTCTGAAAGGTAACTATTATTTCTAAATTCACATGTAGTTCACATAAACCATACAAGATTAAACTGTGCATACTTGCTATAAGGACAAGTAGCAGCAATAAAAATGCAAAGCAATTGTTGTTATTCGAGGACATTTACAAGTACACACTTCACCACTGTGTGATCACATTTTTTATGCGTGCTCCATCTAGAACTTAAGCTGATACATACTCCATAGACATTTCAGTAGTAAGGAACAAATTTTTCAGGGCACATATATGTTATTAACAGTCAATGTCAAACTGAAATCAATTGTTGATGTCATTTGTTAAAACAAATCAGACTTTGTAGATCTGCGCATTTCATCTGAAAATTGGTCTTGCACACACACTGTCGGTGTCATACATGCTCTTGTTTTACTATACTATCGAGGACAATGCTTTGTGTTTTCCCTTTGTCCCTGTAATATACAACACTTTCCCATAGACTTTAAGCACACAAACTTACTACAGAGGACCAATTCCAACAAAAAAGACCGGACGCCCGAGGACTGGACGAATTTGTTGTCTCCCTTTGTGTCGGTCCTCGGGGGTTATGTAGAACACATACACATGCATGAACCACTATTAGGGTTTTTCTATTTTTACGGTAGAGGACTTGATTGGAACAAACTGGTTAAACCAGAGATAACAATAACGACACGTAATCTCCCCAAGGACCTGAATCCAAGTCCTCAGTACATGTAATTTTGTACCCAAAAAAAAAAAAAATTCCAGAAACATTAAAAAAAGTTCAAGTCTAGGAACAAAAAGGGGACAGTAAGGGGCCTCACTAGTACTTTTACAGTGTGCAATTGCATGCAATGTATCCACAATTCAATATCATGTAGTTATAGACAACAGTTAATTCCTGCACAAAGTCCTTGCAAAACACTGATTGGATACATTGCAATACCAAAGATTATTTTCTGCAAACACTCAAATTATAAATATAAATATCCTGGTACAGATCTGTGAGAGAGATCCCACAAGGCCAATACTTAATACAACACATCTCTCATTTATTTTTAAAAAAAATAGTGAATTCAGCGAGCCGGCATTAAAATGAATGAAACATCCGTTTGTTTTGGATTATTAGTTAACTCAATGTTCAGAATCAAAAGCGGCTTATGCACATTTGGAAACAAAAAAATGGATATACATGCCATTAATAAAAGCTAAATTTCTTCTTACTGAGCAATGGAATACTGGTACCTTGGAGCTTATTAAGTAACCCTCTGATGCAAACATACATTGTGCGTCAAGTTGTCCTTTCAGTCAAAATCAATCAAGTGATGTTTTCAACAGTTAAGAATTCACAGCCTACATAAAGCACTTGACTGGCTGTGACTGTTTATGTAACTTGATACAGCTTTGCATTGACTGTGGGTGATTGATAAGCCAGCAGTGCCCACAACTTGCCTGCTTTGTCTGTTCATGGTCTGTTGACTGAGTTTGACTGGTTACAGTGCTTGCTGGACATATGATCTGACTGTTGGTGACTAGCCTGTGTTAAAAGTATAGCAGGCAAAGTTGATGGAAATTTTGACTGTCTGTGACCGTTTAAAGTAGTAGGAGGCTTATAGCGTTTGGTCTACAAATTTCTTTTTTTCACTTTTTTTTTGTAAGCGGTGGAATCTGAGGAAACATACGGCAAATGGCATGAAAGCTTTCAATGTTCAAGAAATTCGCAGTATAATCCGGAAAGATCGATGCAATCAAATAGTGGCAAATTCCCACTTTTTAATGATTAATGAAATTATCCTTAAAGGGAATATACATCATTTGCTTTTGCTGTAATTTTCAGAAATGGATGGAATTGGGGGGTTGGAAATATATAGCAAATATAGTTACACTGACTTTTTTGAGGTTTTGGGTTCGAAAATGCTATAAAAACCAAGAAAAACAATCATTTTCCTGTAGTCTGGCTCCCTGACTCCATATTAGAAGAAACAGAGCAGTTAACATACATTGGGCGATTGTAAGGTCAGGGAACCAGTCTAACTGGCTTGTACCCGTTCATAGGTGTGTAATCGATTGCAAACAAGTGCGATGGTCAATTGGGGCCAGTATTTGAAAAAAAGCCAGTTTTTCCAACGCTGGTCGGCCGACCAGCGTTGGAAATTGATACAAAAATACCACTTTTCTTGAAAATGACAGTATACCAGGTGCCGTGATTTTACAGGATGCTTTACACTGTCATTCACTAACAGTCCAGCAAGGTATTTCAAAATGATTTGGTAGTTTTATTTTTTGATAGTTTGCAAATGTTGTATTTTCCCTTTAACAAGGCCTTTCCTACATTACAAACTGCAGACTCACTTTACCTGCAGCAAAGCAGACAGTCTGATAATAATTCCACTGACATCTGTTGAACTAAATTATTTCCAGGCACTAGAAATAGTGGTTCGGCATCATTAATTTTTAGGACCACTGTATACAGACTCACACACATAGAGTTACACTTGCCAATGGTACATTTACATACAAAACTGCTGGCAGATATGTAATACAGCGCTTAGGACGCCTACCTGCAGTTTGGAAAGCTGAGAATACATCAGCCAAACCCTTGTTTAAAAAAAAAAAAAACCTGGGAAATAAAACCTGGCACATAATCAGGAAACTTCCATTTGATGTGTTGCGACAGATTCTAATAGCAGACAAGACTACTTGTAGTCGTATACCTGGCATTAGTAAGAGGAAGTAGTAAGGATGGCGAAAACTGAGGCACCAACAGCTGCTCCGGTGGCAAGTCGATGGAGGTTAGTCTGGTGTAAAAACTGCATTGTGATTTACATAATTGACGTGTTTATATAACTGATGCCCATGAGCAGTTAAGTACACTCAATTTTATACCATGGAGATATGCGTTCAAGATGGAAACACAACAAAAATTAACCCCTGGTATTCTCTACGGCATGCATGGGCAAAATGAACCTAGGGTATAGTATCCAACAATATTACATGTATAGCTCTACTTTTGTTAGTAAGGGGAGACTGGTTACAGCAAAATTTTCTGATCAATGAAATAATTGTCTACCTTTTTTTATTTCTAAAGATTTCCCTATTGATGTTAACAGTCCAACTGGGCATTTTGTCAAGGGGCGTGGCTTAATGGTCTATACAGTCTATTCTTAATTGCTCAATTCTTGAACACAATTGTTGCAATGAACTTGTGGGTGGGGTGCATGTGTGAGGGGTTTAAAATTGTAAGGTACGCCTGTAGCAAAATGTTTCAACAAATTTGTATGAATCCTCTATCCAAATAAACAGTTTAACAGTTGGTAATGGTAGTGGAATGTCATCATTAGGAGGTGTCTGCGTGTAGTCAAGGGCAAAAGGTAGTGATTGATGATTTGCAGGTTTTTTCCTCATTTTTCCCAAAAGAAAATTTGGCTAGGGTAGGGGCTGTCAAAATAGGGTAGGTAGGCTACATGTAGGGTAACCCATGAGTAACCGGAAGCAAAACTATTCTCTCAATAAAAATGCCAATAAAAAAAAACACTACAAATAAAATGTACTCTCTGTCTGTTCATACAACAATCTTCCAAAATAATTTTAAGCTCAACAATTTGAAATCCATTGCTATAGGCCCTATACCCAAATCGATTGTTTACTCTGTCTCTCCCAGATTAGTGCCTTCCAATTCCATCATATTAAATGTTTTAATTCTTTTGTTATTAATACCATTTTCCACCTCCAACATCTTGTTCTATCATTATTCATCAACAAAAAGGCAACATGCATTATCTGTGCACTCAATATGATCCACTGCTTGCTTATCAAGGCGGTGTTACTAATTACCGGAAAACACCGGAAAATACCGGAAAACACCGGAAAACTACCGGAAAACACTGGAAAACTACTGGAAAACACCAGAAAATTACCAGAAAATACACTAAATACCAGAAAACATGCTAAATACCGGAAAACACCAAAAAACACTAACTACCAAAAAACACCTGAAAACACACTAAATACCAGAAAACACACTAGATTATAAATACCGCAAAACACACTAATTCCCGGAAAACACAAACAAATCTCAATTAATACTGGAAAAAAAATTCCGGTGTTTTCCGGTATTTTCCGGTATATAGTAACACCCAATCGTGGCTTGACCACACTGCCACAATGTATTTTCGAGTCACCATAATGGACGCAGGTATAAATTTAACGCTTGCATCTGGGACTGAGAATTATTTCCAAATTTGTGTTAAGAAATACTTTGAAAATGCACAAAACTCTCCATAGACTTTGTACACAACCACAGAAGTGGCATCAGGATACTACACTCTTTTAGTCTTTACGAATACCTAAATATTGTCTTCCAAAAATAGGCCTAGATTATTTTATTATTATTAGGACCCTGGGAGTACTGCTGCAGGAGGAATGCTGCACTGTACAGTGTATGTAGTCCGGCCATATACATGTACATTAGAAACACGTGCACTGAATCACACACACACAGAGTAAGGAACAGTATCATAGTAATAAAACTGCTTTCTACACATTGTCTTTCACCGTTAGTTATCACGTTGTACTTACCACCACTGAAACTGAAACAAGCTGTTTTAATTTTTTATTAAGTTTTCCTCAAACTAGTCAAACTAAAGTGGAAGTTTGGAGTGCCCTTGAAGTTGAAGTTCACGAAACAGTTTCTAGGCTGGTACCCTGTGTTTGATGTTGGGTTGCTCTCACTTAATTGTGCACACTGTTTCACATGCGACTTCAGGACACCCGTCGCATTACCCACTGTTAAAAATTTTACCAACTTGGCACCCAAGAATCAAAATTTAGGTGGATTTTTCTTCGTTATTCCTGAGCTTTAAAACGTTTTGCTTTGCCAGTCTTCCTTTGGTAAGAACAACATTGTTATATAGTATTGTTAAGTCAACATTATTATTTGATGATCGTGTGAATGATTGTTAAAAATGTTACCTTTTGTCTGAGTTCTGGTTCCTTGTTGCCGTGTTGGTGACCGAATTTTGTGCTTGGCCCCGCCCGCTCTGCGCGCTAGATCCCCGGCCCGGCCGTCCCCGACAGTCAAAAAACGCCCGCTACCGATCCGTCGTCGGTACTTGTGATTTGATGAACGGTTGAACTTTCACTAATCTGTTTTGTGTGTGTGTCGTATTGTGTGTGTTGCGATCGGTCTATGTTCATTGCATTTCTCATGGGAAGCCAAAGGATTATTAACATACATAAGTGGGCGGGGTCAAAGGTGGGATAAACATACATTAATTGGCAGATTTGGGGGCGGGTCAAAAAGTTTTAGGCCTAAATCACTCAGATTTCTCTCCCCCCCCCAAAAAAAATGGGATGGAACCGGTTGATGAGGATTGACCTTTTTAGTTGGGGGGGGGGGGGGGGGGGAGGGGGTGGATATGGTTCATGTACACGCACAATAAATTCATGACCTTAGTTCTAGTTCTAGATTAAAGGGAATGTACAACATTTGCTTTTGCTGCATTGTGTGTGGTCGTATTGTGTGTGTTGCGATCGTTCTATGTTCATTGCATTTCTATGGGAAGCCAAAGGATTATCAACAGTCATAAGTGGGCGGGGTCAAAGGTGGGACAAAAATACATTAATTGGCAGATTGGGGGCGGGTCAAAAGTTTTAGGCCTAAAATCACTCAGATTTCTCTCTCCCCCCCCCCCCCCCCAAGAATGGGATGAAACCAATTGATGAGGATTGACCTTTTTAGTTGGGGGGGATATGGTTCATCATGTTCATGCACAATAAATTCATGACCTTAGTTCTAGATTAAAGGGAATGTACAACATTTGCTGCAATTTTCAGAAATAAATGGATTTGGAGGATCAGTAGTTATAGCAAATATTGTTAAAATGACTTGTTTCACGTTTTGGGCTTGAATTAGATGCTGAAAAAAACAAGAAAACCAATCATGTTATTGTAGTCAAATTGTAGAGCAATTTTTTACTTTGGGGAATTGTAAGGTCAGAAAATCAGTCTAGCAGGCTAGTAGTACTTCTTCACAGGTTTGTAATCAGTTGCAAAGAACATCCGGAAAAACTAATTAGGAAAAAAATTGAGAAAAAAAAATCCAGTTTTCTCCAATGCTGGTCAGCTGACCAGCGTTGGAAAAATACAATTTTTGTTTGAAAATGTCAGCACACCAGGAGCCACGATTTTACAGGATCCTTTTTAGACTGTTATTCCCTAACAATCCAGTAAGGTATTTTGTGAAAATTTGATCATTTCATTTTGTGATGTTTGCAAATGTTGTATCTTCCCTTTAAAGAAAATTGAACATTTGTGGAATTTGAAGATTGATAAATAATTATTGTACAATGAGAAGATCGTCGTAATGTGAACATTTTAATGCCATTGCTACATTGCTCTTACTAGTCTTACACTACATGTATGCCTCGCCCTTGAAAAACAATCCTCATAATCTGAATTAAAAATGATTTAATTAAGACAATAAAAGAAAGACAAATTTGGAATTTTGCAAGATTACAATGTTTTATTTTAATTCTAATTCCGTTGCTATTTGCCAGCCAGCCGTAAAGTGCGAGGGAGTACATGTTTGTAAATTATATAGATGAAATTTGCAATTATTTCTTTATAACCAAAAAGCAACGGAAAAACTACACCTTTTTTATCATATTTATTCTGCGCAAGCAGCAGGCTTTTGAGGCGATCTGTAGACGGGGCTCCACCCCAGGATCCATTGACCATGGCTGACTTCATGAAGGTAGCCAAGTCCAAGATTGACGCCTCGGCCGGCGAGCTGAACACCATAAGCCAGGAGATCTGGTCCCACCCAGAGCTGAATTTCAACGAGCACCACGCCCACGAGGTGCTGACGGATTACCTGGAGAAGGAAGGATTCAACGTGGAACGTCACTTTGTGCTGGATACGGCTTTCAGGTTGGCGTGCTGTGTCCATTTTGATACAATCTGCTCACAGGTGGGCGGGGCTGGGGGAGAAGGGGGAGGAGCCACGCATCTTGGTCGGCTTGCACTCAATATGCAGATGCAAGTTAAATCATCAGCATGGCTGTCTGGCAAATTGAATTTGTGGGGAAAAGATTTGGTAAACCCTGCCCCCCCCCCCCCAAAAAAATGTCTTGCTTCACCACTGTTAAGCCCATCTAAGAAGTTGTTACGCATAGCAGAATTATGTAAAGTCATCCTATTTAATGTATGTTTGACCATAAACGCCTTTATTAATCCATTGTACTCTTTCAATATGCTGGTGCTCAAATTTGTTTGTACCTTTTTCATCATTGCAGACCCCTGCAACAGGCAAGATAAATAAGCTTTTTAAATCCTCAGTGGTAAAGGGTCTTAATAAAAGCTGAAATATCTTCTTTCTATTTTTTGATAAATGTTTGGAAAATTGTTGATTGGTCAATAACAGCCAAGTTCCAAACTTCACACTGCAAAGCAAGGCCAATTAAGCTTCAAATGTACTGCATTCAAGGACATTTTCATTGGTTTTGTTTTAACAGGGCAACTTTTGGTTCCGACAACGCTGGCCCCAACATTTGTGTGATCTGCGAGTACGACGCCCTACCAGAGATTGGCCATGCCTGTGGGCATAATCTGATCGCAGAGTGTGGCGTGGCCGCCGGGATCGGCATAAAGGCTGCATTGGAGGCTAGCGGAAATAAATACGGAAAGGTCGGCAACTTGCATGTTACTTCCTCTTCAGTGCAGTAATAAAAAAAATTACAATGCAACTATGTAAAGTAATGCATGTACAAAAGCTTCACAGAATACCATGAAGGAATCTCAAATATGTAAAAGCCCCCCTCGGCCCTTGAATTAGGCAGTGCTAAATCAGACCAATTAGGCAAAAGACGGTTCGGGCTTATGTTTTTAAATCAAGGTGCTCAGTTTACGTGGACCACATTGATCAGTGAAAGCATTGAATTTGTGGTCTGCAGGTAATTCTTCAGGTTGTGGGTTCGAGTCCAGCCTGCGGCTACGGTGCCTGTGCCCTTAGGCAAGGCACTTTGTCACTCACTGCTTCTCCCCATCCAGGAGTAAATGGGTACCTGTGAGGGCAGATATGGTTATTGATATTGGTATTGATTTAAGCTGTTTTGCGCCAAAATGGCTGCATCGAGCTGTATACTCCCCAGGCAGCTAAGATGGTATTTGGGAATGTTTCATTTGCCCAATGAGCAGGGTAATAATGATGTAGCGCCTTGAACACCAATAATGGTGCATATGTGTGCTCTATAAATACCCATTAGTATTATTATTATTAAAGTGCAATGACTTCAAGATAATACTTGATTCTTCTGTATCTTTTTTATTTGTTCTAGGTGACGGTACTAGGGACACCAGGTGAAGAGGGAGGCGGCGGCAAGAAACGTCTCATCAAGGCCAATGCCTTTGTTGGCATTGCTGTAGCCATGATGGCTCATCCTTACAGATACAACGTGCCACGCCCTATTGCTCTGTCAATGACAGCGTAAGACTTTTGAATAACTTGTTTATGAGTGACCTAAAGACAAATCTAGCGGCAGCCATTTTCTGTGGTGGCGCAAGGCTTGCACGAGTTGCGTTCAGGTAGTACACACGCACTCCAGGCTCCTTCGACCAATAGGAATTACCAAAATGCATGTGCGCCTCGCCTTTAAGAAAGCATGCAGCATGCGCCTGAGCGTGACACCACCGCAGTAAAAGCTTTCATTTCTGGTCGCCGGATTCCACTATACATTAAATGGCTGAGCACAAAATTTGCCAAAAACTCAAAAATGAATTGACAAATTATTTTGCAGTAACAGTTGTATTAAGTTGTACAGTGGTTGTAAGATTGCAAAATTATCAAGCATCCTTTGAAATGGTAGAGCCTTATGTGCTTGTCATTTTCAAAAATGAGGAATCCTTTATCAATTTCCAATGATAAAGCCAAATGATCATTAGATTTTTTTGGGGGGGGGGGGGCAGAACGCTGTCTGCTACAAATTACTGGCTCCCATATATCCCTCCATTTCTTAAACTTACAGCAAATGCTTTGGTCCACAAGAATACACTTGACTAAACCTCTACAGTAATGACAGCCATTGCTATGGGCGTCACGTATGGATCGTGATGGCCCGTGGTAGAGCGATCTGGGTGAGCTACTCGAATGCACCCATTGTTTACGACGATTTCCAGAGTTGCAATTTCAGATTTGACAATTGGATTTTGTTGGCAGTCTGGTTATCAAGTTCCAAGGCAAGGCTTCCCATGCTGCAGCAGCTCCCTGGGATGGCAACAATGCGCTGGACGCGGCGGTCACGTGCTACCAGTCCATCTCCAACATGAGGCAGCAGATGAAACCAGCGTGCAGAGTTCACGGTACAAAAAAAATGGTTTCTTATTTAAAGCACTTCGTACCAAAGTGTGGAAAAGCTAGAATTATATGCCCTGTTCATCGGGTAATGCCACTTTTCTGCGGCAGATCAAGATCAGCTTCCCCCATCAGGTACCCATTTTATGGGTGGAGAGAGGCAATTGTAGTGAAGTGTCTTGCCCAAGAACATAAGCGCTGTGTTCCTAGTCCGGGTTTGAACCCGTGTATCATCACACTCATGAATCCGACGCCTTTACCTTTGGATCGCAACCCTCCACATTTGGTGTGTGTACATTACACACAGTGAATGTTTAACTTTGCTATTTGTGCGCAAACGTAAATTGCATCACAAACCAACCCTTAGATTACCGTTGGTCCTCTATCGAACCTGCTCAAACGATTTTCTTTTGTCGTAGGGATTTTCACCAATGGGGGCGCTGCTCCCAACATCATTCCCGAGGAGGCAGAGTTGACCTACTACCTGCGTGCCGTCGACGAAAACGAGCTCGCCGTGCTGAAGAAGAAAGTTGAGGCTTGCGCTGAGGGTGCTGCCATAGCAACCGAATGCAAGGTTAGTGCCAAATTTTGACAACAATAACGGTCCAAACTACAGCATTTGTGTGATGCAACTAGTTATGCAACAATTTTTTTTACAAAAAAAAAAATTTTAAACATTGTATTCTTTTATATGTTACATTTATATATTTCAAACATTTTTTAAACTTTAAATTGATTGAATTTCATTTCAGAGTAGACACCAGGGAAACAATTTATGACACTTCTGACCATAACATTTTCTGATTACAGACAAATCTTCCATTTTGTGGAGACCAGAAAGTGGCCTTCTAAACTGACTTTATTTTTTAGAATTGTCACTGAAGTTGTTAATCATGCGTCCTAAATTGTGTCACTCATTTTAGGTGGATGTTAAATTTCACGATGGATATGCTAACATCAACCAAAACAATGCTCTTGGTTCACTGTACGAGAAATACGTTCACGAAATAGCGGTAGACTTTCCCATCGATCCCTCTGTGTTGTCCAAGCCCTGTGGATCCACAGACTTTGGGAACGTTTCCTACGTACTGCCCGGGATCCATCCTTCTTACCGTATTCCCACCGATGCAGCTAACCATTCTAGAAAATTTACTGAATCTTCAGGTAGTTTCCAAAATTGAAACGTTTCCGTCATTCATATTCAAGCTTGGTTAACATCCAATATTAATTGCTCCACAACCAATGCTGTCATTACAGTGACATTTGTCATGAAATCAAACAGTTGTAGTAAAATATCCTGCTCAAGGACAATTTCCGTGTGAAGGGTTTTTGGTAAACACACTGAAGGCTCTGCCACCTCGTACTATGTGTCATACAAAAAACATCCTACTTTTGATACTAAACTACTCTGTTGTTCACCAATGGAAATAAACCAAAATTTAAGAACATGTTAACAAGGCATGACAAATTTTATAGAGCGAGTTTCATCAGCTATGCGCAAGAGGGTGTGATTTAAACACTTCAATTAAAAATATAGTCACTTTCAGAATCTGCCACTTTCGACTTGGTGTCCTCCAATGTCGATGCAGTGCTGGAGTTGGTGGTGGAAGGCGTTTGCTGCAGTCGAAAGCTTCTGAAGGAATGCAGGATCACCCCTGATGTCATTGCACACCTCGATCATTTGGCGCAACACACGATCAAGGAGGTGTGCAACGACATCAGGGATGATCCTGCATAATTCCTTCAGAAGCTTTCGGCTGCAGCACGTGCCTTCCGCCGTCATCTCCAGAGCTGTAACGACATTCTGAAAGTGAGATTTTTTTTCGTACAGCATTTAAATCTCACCCTCTTCCACAAAGCTGATGAAAGTCGCTCCATAGATTTTGTCATGCCTTGTTTACATGATCTGAAATTTTGTTTTAATTCCATTAGTAATAAACAGAGTTATTTAGGATGAAATGTAGTACATGTTTTTAGCCACAAATATATCTGCCGGTTCATTTTCTTGAAACAAGTAAGCCTATCATTACGTAGTCGGTTAAGCCAGCTGTTCATGCTTTGATATAATCAATCTCCAAAATCGTTCCTACTTCCCTGTCGCTTTGCTGCATTGCTCACTTGGAGGTTAATGTTGAAGTTGAAGCCATGCATTCCAAGCTCCTGACCAATGACGTTGTGGCCACTCTCTATGAGAAGTATGCCACGGAACTTGGGATCGAGCCCAAGAACGGCCAACAGATCAAGACGCTGCTGGCCACAGATTTTGGGGACACGTCTCGGGCCGTGCCGAGTATCTCTCCAATGTACTCGGTTGAGAACAGTACCCCGCTCACTTTATTGGAATTCAAAGCAGCTGCAGGTAAAAGAACGGGAAGTAGGGTTTGGTCATAATCTCTTTTCCAGTAATCTTATCTTGGTATTGGAGGTGTAGACATTGGTATGTCATATCGGGTTCGTACACAATTGGTCACATTACTTGTGTGCCTTGAGCATCGCATGCCTACCAACTACATTGTTAATGCACAGAGGTAGCACATGTACTCGGTTTTTAACTAAAAAGAAATTTGTTGCATTAGTATTTGAAAGACAAGGTGAAAATCAGCTCTGCCCCTGGAATAGATACAGTACATTGCAATTGAAAGTTAACACTGTGAATGGGAATGGGAAATTGGATCATTATAAGGGACACCATCTTCCCAATGGGGGCACTGTTCAAAACCTATATCATGGTTAATGTTAGACAATACTACTGATATTCGCTTTCCATGGACGTTAAAATCAACAGCCACTCGCGAAAAGAAATGGTTTTGGTGAAAAATACGCACAAATCGCAGGAAAAATAACTTTATGTTCTTCCAGCTAATCATGGTAACCCATATGGCTGTGCTTTTCTCCGGATGCCAAATTTCCAGTGGGGGGGGGGGGGGGGCGAACTATTTATGGGGGGGGGGAGAAATATTTTCCCACTCTGGGAAATTCTTTTTCCTTTTTGTGAAATAAATGGGAATTCCCTCGAAAGAGAAAAAGTGTGAAGAAAAATTACATTCCCAGGTTAACTTTGATTGCAATGCAGGAAAAATGAGGACTCTGCAGTCACTGGTACTTGCTCCACTACAAGCAGGAGATATAGCCTGTCTTGTGTCAGCGACCAGGTGTTATTGGCTCTGTGCACAAGTACCCCCTCAATGGAAAGAAAGGGAGAGTTGGGGAGACCAGTGGGAGAGATATTCGAATGGATTGCTGATAATGCCTGACGTTCATGCAAAGACGCTATGGGCTCCGTGCACAAGCACCCCATGAACGGCCAGAAAAGGAGAGTTGGGGGTGACCTAGAAGTGGTTCCCGATCCATCCACTGTGTATTTCGAATGATCCAAAGTTATTGGGGTCAGGGATTTGTCTGGGTGACCATCGCAAGTTAAATTCTAAATGATTCGAACCTATTCGCACGCCAATGACGCTCATGCGTGAAGACACTGTGGCTTGGCTTTGTGAACATTCAGGATGAAAAAGTTGTGCGTACTTAGCGCGCTAATTACGGTGCGCACACCCGGAGTCCCGTCCAAGGGGCTCTCAGAAGTGGAAAAAGTGTGCCTTCTTTTGTTGGCGCACTGAGCCCATAATAGTACATATTCAGAATAAAATTTTTAAGTTGTGTGTACTTCGTGCTGTACTTACTTGTAAACAAAAAATCTGTGTGATGATTGCAATTTTGGAGATCTTAGAGATCGTCCAAGAGAAACCTTTGTCATCATTGTTCATTCACAAAGGCATGATGACCTGATGAGCTTCACCGACCGTTCCCTGCCCAGCACAACATTAGAAAGATTCTCCTGTCTTGGCTTCAATGATTGTCTTGAGGATGATGTGTGGTCAAGCCTCTTCCAGAGCAGGAGAATCCTACAGCTGGCTTGTTGTGACGGAGGATATGACCAACAGAGGTTTTCTGCTAATGCTAGATATGGGGGGGGGGGTACAATACAAGAAAGTGTTGGGCTTATTTGATCCTGCCAGGAGATGTTCTTGACTGTGGACAGCATCTTTGTGTAGGTCCCATCAATGGACTTGGTGTTCTCGTTGGTCAAGGCAAAGAACTCAGCCATAAAGACCTGAAGAATGGTCTTTAATGTTTGAGCGCTTTTGGACAGATAATTGCCCAGTTTTTACTCAGATATTTTTTGAGGCGATGTTAATGTAGCTTATCCATTTCAAGAATGAGATGACAAGATTTGAAGTGATTGAGCTACTTGAGTTATCAGAGGCCTTCAGCAGGCCTCTAATTTGCTTTAGCTGTAAACGCCTTTAAGATGGTAGCAGGGAGATGCACTAGTTCAGTGCCAGGGAAGATTTTGAAGATTTCTAAGAGGCTAGAGGTTATGCTAGAAGGGAAGTCGACTTCAAATTGTATGTATAAAAGTTATTGCTGGGATGGAAGAAGTAACAAACATCTAGCTACTCAGAGATCTTTGGGCAGTCGGTTCAAGACAGTGCCACATGAGGTGATGCAAGGGGATGTTGCTGAACCTCAGTCTAGACTCAGATTGTTCATAAACCAATGTATTAGCACACTCTAGAGTCACTCCTTTCAACGCATTTTGGGTTCAAACTTTAGGTCGAGATGAAGACTTCATCCTCATACGCCAATTTGATTACCAGTACCATTCTGGTCGCCACATATGAAAAGTATGTCGCGGAGCTCGGTGTGCAGTGGAAAGACGAGCCTGGATTCGGTGCCGGGTCGACCGATTTCGGCAATGTGTCTTACGTGGTACCAGGCATACACCCAATGTACCATATGACAGACAGTGCAAATAACCACTCAAGGGAATTCACCACTGATGCAGGTACACTGACGGTCTTGATGAACTTCTCGCACTTTACATTTTTATTGCGTGTACTCAAAACATCACCCAAACTGAACAGAATGCAGCCCCTTTGTCTATTTCTTTGCTTGTTTGTTTTAAATTGTTTTTGTTTTACTTTGTTTTGTTTTGATTTTGCTTGTAGTCTTGAGTTTGTGTTTTGTTTGCTGCATTTACTCAGGTTCTCGAATATTCACGACTCTCAAAAAACAAGCAAACTTCACTCGATCTGCTTGCAGGAGGAGCTGCATGTAGTTGAAGATTTTTTGGTTACTGTAAATGTGATGAGTGTGCATTTCTATCCTCAAGTTAATGGAGCAATCCAAAATGGCGCAGTCTAAAACTTTCAGATTCTGTCTAATATAAGCAGAGACCCAAAATTTGGCGAAGTTCAGATTGGCTTTCAATGTGAACTCTGTACGCATGGGCTTTTCAGTAAATCCTCTCATACTATAGAACTGCCACAGCTGAAATCCTATTAATTGCTGCATCTGTCCACAGCTTATTCACATGTAGGTTGGATACTGACCGTAGTAATTTAGGACTGTGAGTAGCAGTTAATAGTCCCTTAATATCATGGTCTTTTATAACATGTTTTAGCCAGTAAACATAAAGAGAAAAGTTTTCAAAAGCTACTCTACCCCATGGGTGAGCGCGGACATCCCACAGCTTCTTACATTGCCTTGTCTTGATTCTAGACATAGTTACTTCAAGCTAAGTGGATCTTGAGTCTTGAATGGCAACCGGTGCTTCAACCACCTTGAAGGCGGGAACCCAGCCTCGACTCCAGGGGCGCGTGCTCGTTCCTTACACTAACCCCTGGCTGTGATGATGACGTAAATGACGCTGAATGGCTATTCACAGCGTACTGCGCGGGCATTTCGAAGATTGCACGCCGGCTGCGCCCATAATGCGCTCGCGCTCGCGTGCTTAGCTTTGCACGTAACGTCACGTACGAAAAAAAAATTATGATTTTTCGCGTTTTTCGCTAAAAAAAACCCTGTATCTGTGGTTGTAAAGGCACGAAAGGGGTACGTACATTTAATACAAATCTTTGCTAATTAACACAACGTCCACTGTGTTTGAAAGGATTGATTCTTCAAAATCACAACTTTTAACATTTTAAAGATGGCGTCGGCACTTAAAACAGATAAACTGCAGCCCTAATTATAATATACCGTATTTTGGTATATTTAAATTACACAATTCCAGGGGTTACGATCGCGCAAGGCATGATGGGAAACAACATGGCGCTGCAAGATCGTACCCACGGGGCACGCGGTTGGCGGGAACCATGTACAAAAAGAGATCATTATGTGTTTGTGGCCTTTTTGGTCACAGATGTCACAGTTGATCAACTTTTTAATCATAACTTCAACAGGTACATGAACACGTTCTGATGGAGGGAGTAGTGTACATTGTAGACAGTACTTATTCTTTGGTCCCATTTAGGGAACGCAGGGATACTTTTACACATGCTAGCCACCAACAGGGAGATCATATTATTTTCAGCAAGCACTGTGACTAGTCAAATTCATTCAACAGACAAAAGCAGAGAAGTGGTAGGCACAGCTGGCTTATCAATCACCTACAGTCAAAGCATAGCTGCATCAAGTTACATAAACAGTCACAGCCAGTCAATCCTGCTTTTATGTTGGTTGGGAGCTCTTGATTGATTTTGACTGAAAAGTGAAAGGACAACTTGGCACAGAATGTATGTTTGCATAGGAGGGTTATTAATTGATCTACTTTGTTTGATAATGAATGTGTTAGCACACAGAAGTGTCACTATAATCAATTATTGATTTGATACTTTGGGTTTGAAATAATCAGGTAGAGATGAGGAAACCGGTTTCGTATGCCAATGTCATTACCAACGGCATCCTAGTAGCCATCTATGAGAAGTATGCAAGTGGCCTTGGTTTTGAGTGGGACGGCCGCCATGGAATGAGCGCGGGGTCAACAGATTTTGGTGACACGTCTTACGTGGTACCAGGCATACACCCAATGTACTGTATAACAGACAGTGCCAACAACCACTCACAAGAATTTACAGCCACTGCAGGTATAATGAAATTATTTAACAAAATGTTCGTGTTGAGGTTCTGATACTTAACATTTTAGTAGTAGTAACATTATGCAAGCAAAATAGACTTCTTTTTTTGGTCGGTACTCCTGGGTTTGTCATTTGTTTGTTGCTTTTGCTCGGATGCATGAATATTCATATTCCTTTCATGATTCCCTGTAAAAAAAAAAAAAACCACTAAACAAACAAGCAAACAAACAGCCAAGCAATCAATCAACCCATCAAACTTCATGCAGCTTGCAGGAAGATTCTGGGTAAAGAGTCCTACAACTTCAAATGTTTGGAAACCAGAAATCCACTGCCTGTTCATATGAAGATGTGCGTGAAGGCACTGTTGACTGCACTAGCTACCTTGGGTACTTCAGCCACTGACAGCCTTTGCAGTCAGGCACATATGCATTTTTAGGTGGTTTGAGAATCAACCTATGTAGCTAGATCATGTAGTTAGAAATTAGGAATTTTATATGGGGAATTCCACAAAATAAAGAGCTGTTGAAAGTGCCACCATTCAAAATTGAGCTGCTTCTTGAAGCAAAAAACATCAAATTCGACACATCTTATCCTTGGCGTACAATAAACTCTTTACGCATGGACTTCGGTTTAGTCAGTCTCCCCATCCTATAGACCTGCAAAATAGCTGTGAAAGATATCTTGTGGATAGCTGCATCTCCTGGATCCAGCATTTGATACAGAGAGCAATATGTAGGACTGTTAGCAGCACTTAATAGTCGGCACTGCGTACATGTATATCCAGCATTCGGATGATCACAGTATAATATTTGGAGATCCTCAGGAGGCTGTCCACAATTCTGCAGACAACTTTTGGAGAAGGATTGATCGCAATGTTCAGAAGGCAGATGACACAGTTGATTGGGGTAATGATATGTGCGAGTATTGTGCCAGTGTATTGGGCTTTTCTTGATCACAAACGCCTTTGTGTTGATACCAGAATTGTAATCAACTTCACAAGCAGGTCTGCAAGATGTGCCGTACTGAAAGATTTGCTGCTTACTGCACTGCCACCTATCTAGGGTACTCAGAGATCTTCAGCCATTGACAGCCTTCAAAGTCCAGGCACAGACAAAATTTTAGGTGATATGAGAATAAACCCGTGCAGCTAGATCATGTAGAAAGAAAAATAACGTTAATAGAGTTAGGCCTACGTCTGTGTGGTGAGTTGTACAGCAACACAAAATATTGCTCCCTCTTGAGCGAATGTGGCTGAACACAAGCAGCAAGATAAGTGACGAACCAGCCCCGTTTAAGTTTTTTTTCAAAGATTATTTGATGGGCAGTTAACCTTGCTGGACTGACTCTAATCTGTTGAGGATTGTATTACTCATCAGCTCACATCTGTGTCTCAATATCAGGTAGAGATGTGGACTTGGGGCTCGAATGCCAATGTGATTACCAACAGCCTCCTGGTGGACATCTATGAGAAGTATGCTAGGGAACTTGCTGTTCACTGGAGCAAGCATGATTTGATCTTTGGTTCGACAGATTTCGGCAATACGTCTTACATGGTACCAGGCATACACCCATTGTTCCGAATTACAGGCGGTGCCAACATCCACGCTCGTGAATTCATGGCCACTGCAGGTACACTGAAATTACGTCGCAAAATAAATGTTCTTGTCATTCTCATTGTAATTGTAAAAAAAACACTTAAGATCATGGTTCAACTTGAATGGACTGCAGTATGGTTCTGGGCCCTTTGAGCAGTCTTAGGTTGTGATTGTTTGGTTGCATTCGCTCAGATGCATGTATAGTCCATAACTTTTTGAGTTATCTTGTCAACAGACAAACGAACCAACCAACAAACAAACCAACGCCGATGAAAACACAGCCTCCTGGGCGGAGGAAATATAGGGCTCTCCAAACTTGCCCGATTAAAAATAGAGCTGTTTCTTCAAGCAGAAACTTCAAATTCCACCCTGCTTATCATCGGCTTGCAATAAACTCTTTATGCATGGGACTCTGATCAGTCAGATTCCCCATCCTATCGACCTGTCATTGCTGTAAATGGTTTAGCCTGAAATCAGAACATTAGCTTGGGTTTGTGTTAGTTCATGACATGCATCTCTATTCACCGGCTCACGGTGTTTAAATATCAGATAGAGATGTGGACTTACGGCTCATATGCAACTGTGATTACCACCAGCCTCCTGATGGACATCTATGAGAATTATACTAGGGACTTCGCCGTTCACTGGAGCGAACATGATTTGAACTTTGCATCAACAGATTTCAGCAATACGTACCAGGAATTCACCCATTATTCCAAATTACAGATAGTGCCAGCATCCACTCTCGTGAATTTGTAGCCTTCGCAGGTACTTCAAAGTAACATAACAATTATGTGTCTTCAGCTTGATGACCTGGGGATGCAGGTTGTCTAATCTGAAATATGGCGTTTCTACTGATGCTGGAGCTTTGATGAGTTGTACAAACAATTAGTGCATTTCCATTAACTTTTTTTCGGGTTGTGAATTGGTGATTGGGTTTGCTTAGGTCATGAATATGCATGACTCTTGCCCAACACAATCAAATTCCAATATAAAGGAAGGACCAAGCATTTTGGTTTTGAAGAGGGTGCCATATTGCAGCTACTCTCAGCAAATAAACTCTTTTGGTGATGTCTGTATGTAAAACCAATTCACTATTTGTGAGTGGTTCATTTTTTTTCTCACAAATTCCAGGTATTCTTCTGGGAAAACACTGTGAAAAGCCATTGTCAGCAATGGCGAAAGCAGAAACAGGCAAACTTTGATAAGAAGAATCACTTTATTTTGTGAAAAGCATTCAATTCATAATCCATGGGGAGAAAATGCCTGGACTAAAGTTCGGTATAATCCAGAATTTTTGGGGATTTGCCTGTGCAGAATTGTGCCTGATGAGCGACAAACATCTCAGAAACCAAGAACCGAAAATCTTGGCCCAATTTCAGTGGGACAAGCAGCACAGAATTCTTCACTCAAAAAATCATTGTTCTGTGCTTACAATGCTAGCAAAGAAAATGTGCGCTTTCTCAGTTTGCAAAGAATTCTTACAGGATGTACACTTGTGCAGAAGTGAAAATTCCTTACTAATCTGTCAAATGCACTAATTGGTTACTGTAGTTACTCCAAATTTTCTGGTATGGCTTGCACAGATTCTTTGTTGACGGTAACCAGAACCACCAAATTGGGCCCTGATCTCATTCCTTCCTTCTGTCAGGTGGAAATTGATGCATCGGGCATATCATACGCCAACCTAATCACCAATGACGGATTGTCCATCATGTATGAAGCACACGCACAGGGGATGGGTGTTGAGTTTAGCCATGACGAGGCTTTGAGACGAGGGGGCTCCACGGACATGGGCAACGTGTCCTACGTTGTTCCCAGTATCCAACCCAAATTTACCCCGGGCTCGGGAGACGCGGCTATCCACACAAGACCATTTGCATCAGTAGCAGGTCTGTAGTATGCGCTGCCGAAGCGTGACGTCACTTCCCTTCCAAGGTCAAGCTTACTTAATCCTGCTGGACAACAGTTCACGCGCATTCCTTGGCGACGCATTCCACGTAGGTTAAACACACACGATCACCGACACCAATTTTACATGCTGAATGTATAGAAAATTGTCACCACTAAGTACCTGAAAATGGAGGAGTGCTTTACAGCAGAGCTGTCCTCACACTATCGAGAACTGTTGTACACTTGTTTCGCTTCCTGAAGGAGTTTCAAGCCAAATATACACCGTGGGTTTACAGCTGCCTCAGCAAAACATCGAGCGTTTTCACGTGGGCCAATGCAGTGCACGTGATCTGGTGACCATAGTGGGGCCGAGTTGACCTGGGTGATGTCATGACTTTGACAGTGTATTGGGATGCATGGGGACTGACTGAACAAAAAGCCTATGCGTAGAGAGAAATTTGGCGGCAAACTCATACCATTGCTTCACTCCAACACCTGTCCTACTTTCATGCATGCATTTCACTTCCACTCATCATGCTGTTGCACCAAACTGCTTGCATTTGATCATTTTATCCATCCATAGTTTCTTGTAAGCTTCACGTTGCCAAAAAAAGAAGTCAGGTCAGGTATCTCCTCAAACAAATAACAAGGGAAGAACAAATGAACAAGAATTAGAACAATGATGGTACAGCAAATTTACACGACTTTGATTACAGCGTATTTAGTGGGGAACAATTCCTGACCTCTTTCCTGTTGTGAAATTGTAATTATTAACCGTCCAGGCTGCAAATTACTAATCATTGCCACCTATCCATGAAACAATGTTTCTTTTATTGGTTTAACAACAAAGTCCATCACAAGTCCTGCAGTCCCAAGTCAAGTCCAAACACTTCAACTAAACTTTGACAAATGCAGTCCTTGGTGGATGTTCATCCCTTCTTGTGGCTGGACTTGTTGAAGAACTTGCAATATATTGACCCGGACTTGTGATGGACTCAACCACAACACTGTCATTTATTGGCAAAACATTCACTTGCTCCCGCTCAAGGTGCCCCCGAGGCTCAGGCCCCGACGTTGATCCAGGCCAAAGCGCTAGCCATGACGGCCATCGAGCTGCTCCAACCCAGCGGGCAAGACACCCTCAAGAAGATACAGAAGGAATTCAAGGAGACCGTCAGCAAGCTTCCAATGCCCGATATGGGTGATTAACTCCTTTGTAGCCTCTCTATTGCCCCCAAACACCCTAGCACTGTATGGTTATCAGCTATGGATTTATTCAGGAAATAAATACAATGTTATAAAATGTTATACAATGTATACAATGTTATACAATGTATACAGTTGCTAGTGGGTTAAAGGAGGATGTGATTGGACAGAGGTGGTGGTAAGTGTGCTTCCATGGTTTAATATTATTAACTTGCACAAGTAATTGATGTGATGAGAGACATGTGTACGCAGTGGAGCATGCAAATTGACCTAAAAAAAATTGCAGGGTTCAAATCCTGCTGCTTGCCATGCATTGTGTCCTTAGGCAAGACACTTAACCCAGATGTTAACTCTCTATCTAGCAAGGAGTGTACACCGATACTGGATTTATAAGCTTTGAGATAACCTGCGTTTAGACGTCAGGGTTTGGAACATGTACATCCAACAAGGTTCTTGCTAATCGAAAGTGTTACGAGATTATTCACAAGTAATGGATAACTTGCGGAACTAAATTTAATGTACAACTCTTTAAAACTGGGTTCATGTTTTCATGTTTACATGTTTACCTGTCATGAATCATGCATTACAATCTCCACAAAGTATATTTGCACTTTGATGATCGTATTGAAGAGAAAAAAAAAGACTATCCATGATTATTATTGTGCTTTAAATACAAAGTTTAAATTTTACTTTGCAATGATTTAAGTTGTTGTTGGCCAGTATGGTATGCATCAATAATTTTCTAAGAATTATGGTATGTATTTTTGATAAGGATTGTGAATTAGTATTAGACATACATACATGAATAATTTAGGGATGTGTTAAATAAATTCCTGAGTTTTGTTGCACTGCATACATATGGGAAGTATTAAATTATAACATATTTTAAGAAGAATTAAGTTACATTTACATTTAGCTTCTAATTAAGCCTAGCTGTCCGAAATCAACCAAATCCTAGATCTGAATTTGATTGTTTTGGTACTATAGAATCCTAGAGTCCAGATTTGTATACATTTTCAGAACTTACATAAATTTAAAGTGTTAAAATTTTAGAAATATGACAACCAGCATGGGTTGAAATGTATATTTTAGTAGGGAGATTGTGACTTTAAGAAAAATTCATGCGATGTACATTTTATATTGTTACAATAAGAATTTTCCCCACTTTTTGAGTAACTGGTTTGTTTTTATGAGTGCAAATGATTTTAAGGTCGGTTAATATGTTGAAAGCATAATAGTTAAAATAATTTATGTAAGAAAAAGGTGTTCCTCAAAATCACACTACAGACATACTGCACGTGTTTTGAAGTTAAATCGTTATAGGTGGTTGTTTTATTGCACAGTATCAAAATGTTCTTTCACCTAAAATGTACAGTTGTTTTCTAATGTACTGGTGAACAAATTACATAAGTTCTTCCTTGGAATGGTTCAATTTGTCACAAACCAAAAACTTCAAGAAAAAAAGAATGAGCCAATATGTCCTGTGCCGTTTCTTTTAAAGTAAAAATCGGACATTACACAATACATAATTATTTTAGCAATACTAATAAATAGGCCTTCTGGTTTTCTGGTTGTTACTGTGCAAACATCTCTTAAGTGGTTATCTCGCACAGGCCTGGGCAAGTATTCGATTTTTCTACTCAATACTCGCAAAGAAATTACTCGCGAGTAGTCGAATATTCACAAGTAGTCGAATACTCCCAAGTAGTTAACTGAATTCCCATAAAAGCAGAAAAATGACATACACGTTAGTATGATGGGAAGTAAATTACAAGCAAATAGCGTGCAAGTCACATCACATTCTTCAGCACTGAAATATCCTTACTGTGCAACGCTTTGAGTCATTTGCTTGAATTTTTTGAATTTTTTTTTTTTTTTGACAAATGGAATCCTAGGGAGAGAGAGGTGGAGGGAGTGATTCCCTGTTTGCAGGGGATGTATTAAGCCGTGAACCCTCGACCCTAAATTGCCACTCGCGAGTAGCTGCTTCTACTCGCGCCAGGACGAGTACTCAAGTCGATGAAAAACCATGAGTAGAATGAGTAGCATAAACTACTCGCGAGTACTCGAGTAATATCCAATCCTGAAAGAACACAATTCTTTTTCGGGTAACTTGACAACTCTGAAATAAAAAACATCTCTCATTACAAAATTTTACTAATTCAACAACATAATTCTTTTTTGGTATTAGATTTCGTTGATCAGTAAATAGCATAATTTAATGTTATATTCGTCATATTGTTATTTTTTAACAATTCTGTATTCTTATAAATTTAAAAAAAAAAATTTCAAATCATAAACAAAAAATTCAGCCACAATTTTGTTGTACAATTTGTATGAAATATACAACAGATTGACATAAATGATGTGCCCTAATTTTGTACACTGTACATCAGGAATGCATAATAAATTTCACTGAAATTGACAGAATTTGACTGATAAATAGTTTTTCTTACGCATCTCTGTATTTGGTTTTCACAATTTACTTCAAGTTAATAATAATTGGGGAGGGGGGCGCTCTAATCATCCATACTGGCAGATGAGAAGCTGAATTGCGAAGGGCGCGACCACAAAGTAGATGTAGTTGAGCCGCTCACTTTTTGCAGCCAGCCACATCAACCCATATATGACCACGGAGCACAGCCAGAGATCAAAAGTATTTGATTTTTCCGGAGGGAGGAAAACCGGAGGGCCTGTAGAAAAACCCTCGTGGCACAGGTGAGAACTGTACTCGCATATGGCAAGAATGGTCCGTGGATGGGATTCGAACCAGGGCCACAGTGGTGAGAGGCGAGCGCTTTATGCACAAGCCAACCACGCCACCCGAAACATTAATTCACATTACTAATGTCATTATTTGTATTGGCGTATTATCTTTCTACGAAAGTTAGAGCTATTTTTTTCATGCTGTCAAACAACTAATAGGACCTGCTCTCACCTGTTATTGAAAAATTGCTAGTTATCAGTTATATCATGATCATATCGGTACATATTTACAGAACAAAGTTACAGAACCCTTGAAGACTTCAATGACGTACGGCTTACACCTCTGCTGATGGGTCCTTCACATTCTGAAAGGCGAAATGCAAACATTTTGTTAAGTCACAATGGGATAGTGATTTTCTGTTTATAATTTTGTCGTCTTCTTTTCCTTTTCATTTGAATACAAATAGAAACCACAGGTACAAATCGTATTTAATGTTTTGTTTAAAGAAGGCGGTAAGAGTGTGCTGTAGCAGTTTTGTGTGGTTTTTAAAACCTGGCTGCAGATAATGGTCCGAGCCTAAGGTAAGGGCTGTTATCGGTGACCAGGGCCCAGCTGCTTAACGGTTTGCAGAAAAGTTGTGCTTAGCATAGCAGAAAAATTTGGTAATCTTACGCACTATTTCACGGCGTTGATGTGCTAACGGTCACATGCGCATGGAGATTTCTAGTGTTACGTCACTAAGTTAAGCAAATTTTTCCTCTGAGGTAAGTGTGCTTTTTTCTAGTGCTTATGCTTACGGTCAAGGCTGTGTTAGCAGAAAATTGTCTTAGCAGCAAGCCAAGTTTTTGCCATTAGATAAATATTCTCAAAATAGCCATTGTACATGTAGTTGAATATTAATTTGTAATCATATCTGCAAATATACTTACAACGGCAAGTTCAGGAAAAGCCTCCAAAAGTACTATGTCGAGCAATGTATAGGCAAGCTGAAACAATTCAAATTAACAGGGGGAAAAAATGATTTCATCCTGCATGTGATGCACTTTGCCATTAATAATTACTTTTGTGTAGAAACAGGAGTCTGAAATCACTTTGATAAAAATAGCATGACAAGAAAAATCACTGACCTGTTTGTTGAGTTTGGGATACTGCAAGCCGTCAAAGACGAATCGCAGACCGGCGCAAAACTTGTCCTCCCCAATCACCTGATGCAGTTGCTCTATGTAAATGAAGAGAAAAATACGAGTGACTACTTGAACAAAAACAGGACGTGAACCCTAGACTTTCTGGCTGCCATACCAATTAATAGTTTTTGAGGAAAGAATGTAGTGTCCAGACGCCACCTCAGCAGTTGTGTACAAAGTCTATGGAGAGTACAGAAAATTTCAAATCAAGTCAAGAATTAAATTTCCTGACAAAATTAGAAAAATTTCTCTGTCGCAGATTCATGTCTTTTCAACATTTTTGCAATGACTGACCTTCATTGAGATGATGTATGAGGAAAACAGTGGCGTAAGGTTGCAACATTCTTTCCATTTTTAATAACGGAATAAGGCCAAAAAAAATAATAGTTCTGCTTCTGGTTTCCCTACCTACCCTATTCTGAGAGCCCCCACCCTAATTCTTTTATGGGAAAAATGAGAAAAAAACACCCCAAACCATCAATTTTCACCTTTTACCCTTGACTGCACGCAGACGCCTCCATATGATCATACACAAAAAAAATTGGCCAAAAAAAAAAAATTCACTACTTACCTACCCTATTTTCGAATGCCATGTAATTGGAAGCACAACTATTTTTTTTGGCCTTAATATGTACTTGGCCAGTTTTAAACAAGTACGTTTATCACCGGCTTGGGGCCTGAATGTGGATAATGGCCTCAGCTGAAGGCGAGGGACATATTATCAGTGACCAGGCCCCAAGCTGCTTTTAAACGTACATGTACTTGTTTAATACTGGCCAAGCACATATTTATTCCCATTCATAAATACCGTTGGGTAAAAAAGCCAATTAAGTCAAAACTTATAAATTTCAAACAATTTTGTTTAACAATTTAATTCATGTGTTTTTAGACACCCCTCAAGCTATGTTATGGTATGTGCCTCTCGCGAGTAGTACTAAAAAATCTGCTTATATGGAGATTGGCCCGCGTGGCACGTACTGCACGGTATGGCGCAGAACGTGGCAGAGCCGGAGTTGTGGGAATTTCAACTCTATGAAATACGGACTCATTGGTAGTATTGCGCATGTTTAAGTGAAGATTGGGAATGTTCAACCAATGGGCCTTATTCACGAGTCAGCCATATTGAATTGAAAGTTAAGTAAAATCTTAAATTTTGGAACTTGCAAAGACGAATGAGAGCAACTTAATTTATAATAAATTCCAGTCTGCTTCAATGAATAATTTAAAATTTGTAATTAAACATTCCCTAATGTTTAAAGCCATATTTTAAAAAAAATAAAATGACAGTAAAATAAGGCTGCATTGTGCCTTCATAAATAGTCTGGCGCCATCCCGTTCAACGGTTAACAATTTATGAAATACGTTCAGGGAACTCGACAAAAATTACCAACTCGTGAATACGGCCCATTAAGGGTAAAAGGGACCAGATTTCATAGGAGTCCAAATTTCAGGTGACATCGGAAAAATGATTAAAACCAGCCAGCTGGTGTTTTATCAACCATTTCATAACCACCCATGGCTCTCGACCAATAGGAATGGGCAAACTGTCTTAGGTATTTGTGAAGTGAGTTTAGAAGTAGGGGAGTTAAAAGAAGGGGTAAAGAGAGACATACTGGGGAAGAAGTCGAGCATCTGCTGGAAGGTTTCCTCCTTGCGCTGCTGCTTCTGGGCATCTGTTCTTGGAGGCTCATCATCAAAGAAAAGAACATCTGGATTCAAACGAGACAAAACGTTTATCTTTCTTTACAACACACTTTATATGCAAGTTCGTTCGAGGATTATTAACTGATGAGTGGTTGATTTGTGATAATTTGTTTTCACTATTTTTGGATATTCCTGCACACTAATGGCAACATGCGAATGTAACACGTCAATGACGTTCATTAACAAGGCTTCCAAATTCTTTTATGTTTGGTACCTTATGTGAACAGGGATGTTTTCTACAATACCACTTTATGTTTCAGTTTACTTATGGACTAACTGCCTGAATTAATAATTGTTTCTAAAAACGATTAGAGGCCGCCAAATTCAATCCAATCCTAGAAATGTTAAATGGTGCCAGCTACCTCTCAGATTATGAATGATGTCTTCCACTTGTTCCTCAGACTGCACAATCTCCAGTTTCTTGGCCAGATAGCTGAAATAAACAAAAATTAAAGATGTAATCCCTGGTAATCGAAATATTCAGTATACATGTATTTGAGACAGCCCTGATGTACATGTACATGTAGATTTAGCTTAGTTATGGACTTCATTCACAAAGCAACCCTTTAACGGTTATTAAAAGAGACAATTTGGGAAGACTAGGAGGAACGTTCAAACGTATTGCCAATGATGTCTGATGCCCTAGGTTGTGTACATTCAGCGTAAAACGAGTTCGTGTGTACTTTGTGCAATACATGCGTGAAACAGTATGTGCATTCGGTGTGTTCCTCCCACTGGAAATTTCTAAAGCGATCACAAAGTGCCATGTACTGTTCGGGCAGTGAGTGCATAGTCTGAGATACCTGTCAAGGAATGTCTCCAGTGAGTTCTTGAAGAGTTTCTGGAAGACTATCAGCCCCTGGTGCATCCATGGAGCGACGTTGAATACGGCAGTGGCTGAGGAAGTAACAAACAGTAATTGTTTTTCCTTAAAAACACTTTTGTTCCACAATTTTTATACTATTTTCTTAAAAGTCTGTGTAGTAAACATATCAATAAATCTGAAAATCGAAAGAAATCACACCAGTTCCTCCCCCCCCCTCCCATATTTCTCCACTTCAGCCTGTGCCCACTGCAGTTCCGTCTCATTTTGCCAGAATGCTTCCCATATTTGAATTGCTTGTTAATTAACCTGAAAGTGGATGATTTGTGATTGCCATGTCATTGGCTTGTGCTTACATGTAACCGACGTGGCATGAATTGTGAGGGCTCAACTACAACTATTCAATATTTATGTACATGTAAATCTGTATAAATATAGGCCTGGATTATGCTTGAAATCCTCCGTACTGCTCCAGGATGTCACTGGCCAAGCCTCAACATACTGGCTGTGCACTGCCGCAGGATTTTGCAGGATTCAGGCAGTTGTCACCCCTCCACAGACCATATTCAAAAAATATCTAGGGAGTTAGGGTTAATGCATGGGCGCAAAACAACCACGTGCTGACCGATGATCCTCGCCCGAAAACTGGCTCAAATTTGTCTCAAATCAAGTTGATTCTTTGCTGACAACGACTCACCAAGGTAGAGAATGTAGTCGAATATCCCGTTGAGTTGTAGGTAGTCTGCCGAGGGATCCGGGCCGGGTTCTTTGAGCGTTTCTCGTATCAATGGCAGACCGGCATTATCACCAAATATGGGACTGTCCAGCTGTGATCAGAAACAGTCAAGAATGATAGAGTGACGGCATTCTTCACAACTGTTTTTCTAAAATGTATAATGATGCTTACAGGTTTGGGGCGGTACAGGTTTGGGGCGGTACAGGTTTGGGGCGGTACAGGTTTGGGGCGGTACAGGTTTGGGGCGGTACAGGTTTGGGGCGGTACAGGTTTGGGGCGGTGCAGGGAGTAACAGGCTGGGTAGCTGGGGGCAATAGATGTTCTATGGGTTGGTATGATGAAACCAAAAAAAACAAGACTAAAATATTTTGGTAATATATTTTATATTTTATACTGGTAAAACACATAAAAATTGAAATGTACAAACATAAAACATTACAAACCAAATAAAGTTTTATTTATATAAAAAAAATAGGGAAATCCAACCTTTTCAGCAAGGTGCTTGGCTGGGTCAACTGCTTCTTCCATTTTTCTGAGAAAAAAAAGTTCAACACTGATGAGTTTTTTATGCATAAAACACCGCAACTCCATCAATACTATTCAATCTTGGACATGCATACATGCACCTCATCATGTGCATGTATGGGGTTGTATTACAAGATGGTCTTAGCATTAATTTATTTTATTTATTTATTAAGCATGTAAAATAACAAGCCTAAAAAGAACTGAGTACACATTGTTTATAAAATACGTCAGCGAAGGGCACAAACCCAGTATATAAAATTTACATCTCCCCGACACAAATTCCATCTCATAAAAAGTTTGGTTGCGGTACTTACTGCTACATCAGACTTAGTCTTGATCCAAGACTGCATTTTTATTCCCATATTTTGCAGTTAGTCCCACGACAAACGCGGTTTTAAGTTGCCGTGCCTCTATCAACAATTTCAACCAAACCAGTTCTTGGTAATATTGGCAGTGCTACCCAGGAACATTTGAGCATACCTCATGCCTTAGCTTGAATATACCGCGCATGAAGTATGCTTGGAATTTCCTGGGTAGCGCTGCCAATATTGCCAAGACTGGATTTTATTCATCTTGTTGATAGCGACTTCGCTTGTCACGGACCTGCTGCATGCATAAGGGGAATAAAAACCAACTCCAGTCTTGGACGAAGACTACATCAGACTCGAACCAGCTAGCCAACCCCGGCAAGCTCAGTGGTTGATGGTAAGATGTCTGCACTAGTAAGCAGGAGGTCGTGGGTGTGAGTCCCCCCGAGTAAGCTTGTGAATTTTTTTCTCACATGCCTTCGGACAACAATGAGTATACAGCGTTTACAAAAAGTCCAGAAACTCGTGCCAAGCATCATGCACACTGACTCAGGAAAGTCCAGTTCTGCTGGAAACATATGGGAAATGCTACTTGTTTTCAAAATGTTACAAAGAGGGAGGGAACAGGATTCGAATCTTCTTACCCTGCCTTTGGTTTTGGTGCCTCGACGGAGGCAATGAATGACTGCAGGAATGGATCCAGATGCTGCCCTCGCTACAAAAAAAAATTCTAAAATGAACTTAATGCAGAAGCAAATCTGTAAAAAAAAAAACCATCCCATTGTGGGGTGCTGTGGTCCAATGGTTACTGTGTTCAACTCGTGTGCCGTGGTACATGGGTTTGAATCCTGACCTTCAAATGGGACGTAAAGCCGTAGGTCCCGTGTGTTGTATATATACGTTACAGAACCCAGTAACACTTATCGCCATTGAGAAGGAGTTTGCCCCTGTGTTTCTGGCAGTGGCTGCAATATGCGCTGCAGCACCTTGTAAACCCTTATAAAGGTGCTACATAATGGGTGTCATATTTCTCATGTACTTCATTTACCTGTCTTTAATAATAGACATAATTTCCAGCGCCTTAAGTACCTAATTGTTGGTAGATACGTGCACTATATAAGACTTCGGTATTTTATTATTATTATATTATTAAAAAAATAATAACTGAAGCGGTGTCAAAAATAACTTTGTTCTGAAAATTATCATACAACAAATTTGTATCTATTAAAGATTGGAAAGATGTAATACATTGCAAAGGATGAAAAAGATAGAGCAATAATGTTCTTACCTCTTTGATAACTCTGTAAGACATCGTTCTGACCAACTTCCCTGTAGAAATGCAATAAGAACAAAAATTGTATGGGACAACAATTTGCATAGGAAAGACTGCAGTTTTTGTACTTTACTGAATCCATTGTACATTTATTCCTATATTGGTAGTCCTTATCATACCAAGGTTGACATCTCCCAAGAACTTGTTGACAAACTCTTCACTCTTGGTCAGGAAGCTGTAGAGAAGCTGGCTGCTTCGTAAGTTGGGTTTAGTCAAGAGTGTCTGCAGGCATGAAACAGACAAAGATTGCGATGATGGGTGAAAGTTCAGAGCATCTGGGCTGAAACATTATACCAGTCAAGCTTGGGCCTAAAATAGGTCTCTCTCAAATGACGTCATTTCCTACAGACCAGCCACGCGCATCGTATTTCGAACACATTTCGAGCAACAAGTGCGCGTGTTTGAATCATTTTCAACACTGCTCAATGTGTGCTTGATTGCGTAAAATACACAGTTGCAGTTCTCCTACAGAGATGGCCGCCTTTGAGAGAGACCTATTACAGGTTTTGTTTTTCATCAGTTCCTAGAAACCACTTATGTTTTCTTCAAATACCAAAATAAACATGCCCTCACAAATGCGCCAAGTTGCCAGATGATTTTGCAATAACAATGTGTGCCTCATCATTTATCACACCACATCAATCTGCTCGAGTTACTCAAACAAACAAAAAATGCTAGTGATAGCCTAGGATCAGAAAGAATGCAAAGAAACTGTCTTGTAGGCTTTAACCCTCCTGCTGTCTAAACAGTCACAGACAGTAAAAAAAAATCCTCTTCCCCTGCCATGCTTTTACACAGGCACGTCACCAACAGTCAAATCATATTTCAAGCACTTTGACTAGTCAAATTCAGTCAACAGACAAAAGCAAACCACTGGTAGGCACAGCTGTCTTATCAATCGCCTTCAGTCAAAGCATAGCTCTAGCGGGTTACACATACAGTAACAGCCAGTAAATCCTGCTTTATTTAGGCTGGGAGTCCTTAATTGTTAAAACAGTCACTTGATTGATTTCGATTGAAAGGACAACTTTGCACAGAATGCATGTTTGCATGGGGGTTACAACTTATAAAGCATCTGAAGAAACTGTTCATTCTACAATTTTTTTAAAACCAGCTGCTTTGTAAATTCTCCATCACAGCACTGGAGTCTAAGATCTTCGTTGGTGCTCACAAAATGTCTGATAGTGAAACTGGTGTCACAGTGAGTAACTGTCACAAGACTCGAGCAACTCGAGTAGCTTGTCACAGGTACGAGTGCTCAGGATCCACAAAAGCAGTTGGTAGAGACCCTGGATTCTCACCTGGAGGAATTTCTCGCAGCTGTCTTTTCTCTTCTCCATGAAATCCAGGGAGATTGAGGCAAACGGGTGCAGGGGTCTTCGCTGGGGCAACTGGGCATCTTCGAATATACCTGATGATTTTATTAATTCAACAGACGAATAATCACTACTGCCAGAACCGAAAGTATTTTAGTATTTGTGATGGTCAAACATGCATAAATTCCTCTGCGAGTCCCAGTGATCCGTTACATGGTACTCTCTGGAGACATGTGCACAATAGGTAACAAAAGATTGAATACGTCTCCACAGGGCAATTTCTACAGGTGAATACATCTCCACAAGGTTATCACAAAATAGATATATGAATTTTACTCAAAAACTAGGAATTTCCAAGGTGTGTTGATCGTCGCAAATTGAAGTATTTTATGTAAGGGATATTAAGTCCGAATTTCAGACCAGGGAATTAATCCTGGTTAAAATATGAGCATTTTGAAACTACACTTTGAAACTCAAAAACTTTAGTACACAAGAAAGAAATGACTCAACAAGGATACAAATTCCAGTATGTGTGATGTAGTCCAGTCCATCATAATACGGTACCAGTCCATCATATAATCATTACAAGTACTAGCACAAGTAAATCACAAGTCGATTCACAAAGGAATGACTTCGCTGCAATTCATTTGAATAGCTTATGACTTGACTTGAGACTGAGAACCCCCCCCCCCCTTCGAATTTCCTTGGCAGGGCAATTTTTGGATTTTGGTCATCCCCCATACTCGTCGGCACAGATTTAGGCCACTGATCAGCATCTACTAAACCCGAAGAGGATAAGTGGAGAACGGTTGGAAGTACTTCTATGTGTAAAGAAGTCTTTTACCATGGAATTCTTTGAGTTTGGCCTCCAAGACATGAAACTCGTGGTAGCGCCTGAAAAAAAAAAAACAATAAATGAGAACAATTCAGTGCTGTAAAAGGTAAGTAGGCCACAGTGTCCAACAGAATGCATACAAATTTTACCTTGGAAGCTTTCACGCTTATTGTTTTGGAAATCAGTTGTGCACTGTTGTGCTACCATTTGAGATCGGCATGCGCAACACTGCACAAATATACTAAGACTAGAGAACAACATACCCTCACTTGATTCTCGTCAGTCTTAAAGGGAGATTACGGCCTGAAATCCCAAAAAAAATTTATCTTTTAGATTGTTTACTTATTCTACAGGTCTGGTTGAAAGGAAACGAACCTAACGTCTTGCAGTTCCCGAGATAAGATGACAAAACCCAGTTGTTTACATCGGACACGGCGGACATTTTGTGGCATACGCATGCACATTTCCAGCCGTGTCCATTCAATGTACGGCACACGTTGTGTGTGTGTCACATAACACACACAGCACCAATACACAAATGTTGCTTCTCGCACATCCGCAAAATGCGATGCACGAGTGGAACATGTGCGGCAGGATTCACGACTAGCACCTATCAGTCTGATTTTTGAGAGTCGAAATTCTCGCAAGAATAACACAGAAAACGCCCAGCTTTTAAAAGATGGTTATGTGGACGTTTTTAAATGTTTAAAGAAGTGCACTAGCTTGTCTATAAAACAAACCAAAAAGGGACATGTTAATGGGCCTTATTCAAGAGGTGACCATTTTTGTCTAGTTTCCTGAATGCATTTCATTAACTGTTAACTGTTGAATGGGATGGCGCCAGACTATTAATGCAGGCACAATTTATTTTTTTTAATCTGGCTTTAAACATTAGGGAATGTTTAATTACAAATTTTAAATTATTCATTGAAGCAGCTAGACTGGAATTAATTAGAAATTAACTTGGTTTCATTTCTCTACACAAGCTTCAAAAATCAAGATTTTAACCTCACTCTCAATCCAATATGGCCGACTCGTGAATAAGGCCCATTTGTTTTCAAACATTGAAGAGGAGTTCAAAGTTGCACAAACTGTGTTCATAAGAAAATTCATTTCATGGACCTTTTAATTTAACATGCAGCATTCAATTACTAGTAAGCACAATGGTATAAGCACACTTCGTCAAAATGCTCCAGCTTGGCTCTGGATCGTAGGTCACAAACAGCGCCCCCTACAGTTCTATCACACTCACCTTTCCACTTCCCAGGATGTTTCCTCGCCTCCCCCTTCCTTGACGTCAATCCGCTGCACGTCGATGACGTACACACAGTAATCCTTGGTGCCGTCCAGCCTGGCATCTATTCGTGGGATGCTGACCCTCCACGCGCTCATGTCGTGGATCGGCGACTTCATACCAGCCTCCTCCTCATCGGAGAGGAGTTCTGTGTCAGACTGTTTGAGAAAGGTCAAAGTTCAAAGGTGAATTGACTTCCTTTGTTTCATACCTCAAAAAATGTAAAAGTGTTTGCAATAATGTCTATTTCAAGTATCCAGTTTTAAACAGTGTTGTCTCCTATAAACAGTCATTTTTTTTTGTATATATATAATGGGGTTCAAGTAGGGTTCATTCAGATGGGGGTTTTTTTGGGGGGGGGACAGGGGATGCACGTATTAATGTTAATAGATATCGAGGACCATTTTTTTTAGATATAGCCAAAACATTTAATCCTGACTGAAGCAACATATCACTGTATTGGTCATTTTGGGGCCTATTTTCTTGGGTGATTTTGTTTTGTGCCCAAATCATTAAGTGTGTTATGCGCATGCTCCTTTTCAAAGTACACTTCAAAACATTCATATCACAGACATTTCACAGACATTTAAAAGATAAATCAAAAATGTATCCTCATCTTTGTTTTTTATGTATTCCAAGTCGGTTGTGGATTGACTTACTGGGGGTTGGCTGGATTCTGATTCAGCGATGTCCAACGAAGACATACTGGCAGTGTCACTGTCGGCTTCAAAAAGAAGAAAATAAGGAACACTATTAGAGTTGATAAATTCAGCGAGTTTTTTAAATAAAATTAGTCACATGCACCTACTATCTCACAAATGAGTGCTTGGTTAAAGAAAGACGTTGTAATAGATTTATTTATATTTTCAAAAAACGTTTAAATATGATGGAAAAACAAACTATAACTGAAAGTTTGAATGTGGTTTATTTCTTGTTCTGTTTTCTGGTGTGTTTTGTTTGTTTGTTTGTTTGTTTTTTTGGATTTTCGTCAATTTTTGTGTAAAGCGCTGTGGTACTTTCTATGACAGTTAGAGCGCTATATAAATGTTCAGTATTATTATTATTATTAAAGTTAAATTAAAACTTTTGAAACTTATTTTGTGAGGTATTACAAACTATCAGTTATATTCAGTGCAAAGTTGTCCTTTCAGATAACATCAATCAAGTGACTGTTTTTTGCAGTTAATAACCTACATAAGCAGGATCGACTGGCTGTGACTGTTTATGTAACTTAACACAGCTATGCTGTGACTGTAGGAGATTGATAAGCCAGCTGTGCCTACCACTTGCCTGCTTTTGTCTGTTGACTGAATTTGACTAGTCACAGTGCCTGCTTGAAATATGATCTGACCGTGTTGGTGACTAGCCTCTGTAAAAGGCATGGCAGGGGAGGAGATTGATTTTTTGACTGTCTGTGACTGTTCAGATACCAGGAGGATTAAGGGATAGTCAGTTTGACATTTACATCGATCCACATTTGTCACTGAACCTTTGTCATTTACCATTTGAGCTGCGGAACACTCCTTTGATCCTGCTGCCCAGTCTGTGCATAGCTGCAATGGGATCACTAGAACGTTTGGTGACAACCCTTTAGAAATGAAAACATTGAAAAATGAAAAAAAAACAGTCAAACCCCGTTTTCATTTCAGGTACAAATTAAGACTTCAAACAGATTTTCAAACTCAGTTAAAGCTGATTCTGAGGACTTGAAAAAGAATGCTCCCCTGAACTGAATGATATCTAGCAGTACCAGTTTGATTATCTGGCAATAAATTCTTAATACTTTCCAGGCAGCGGTTTTAACAGAAAAAAAATATGGGTTGAAATGATGGTTAAGTTTTAAAGACCGTATTTTTAACCAAAATTTTAATAAAAAATTACACAAAATTCTGAGCAATCAGGAGAACATGTCATTATTAACTGAGAAAAATTTTAAAATCTGTGTTTTTTTCAATATTTTTAGTGCTATATTCCCCAAACCCCTGCAGAAATATGCCAACATGTACACATGCATATAAAATGAGCAATGCAAATTCACGATAACTGAATACAATCTATACAACACGACAATTTTCATGATATTCTATTATTGTAAGTCATATAAAAAGACATTTACAGAAAATAGTCTCAAAAATGCACTCTTCCAGTTCTACAATGATAACCCTATCTACAACAATACCAAATACATACATTAATTCCATGCACTTTAGATTTTTGAATATTACAAAGATGCAAATACGGTATCAAAGGAATTAAAGCTGACAAACTACCCTTTAAGATGAAGCCACTCTGACAGAGGTCAAGTTCATCAGCTTCACATACTAAGCCATTATTTTTGGATCAACTTTTATTTTTTTGATACACCCTGAATAAATGATCGGTACACGTATGGCCAGAGTAAAATTTCACACAGACAACTTTGAGGACATGTTATGCCAATTATCAGAAAAATTAAGGCTTAAACAAAAACTCAGGAATTGATGTTTACACAAAAGAGGGGGGGGGGGTGATTGCGGACTATCCCTTTCTGGCACTTATGTACTTCATAAACAGTGCATGACAAAAATCTACAACATCCAAGACACTATAGTGACCACAAAAACACACAATCACAAACATGTTAAAAGTAATACACAACCTTTGCTTTTGTTGTAATTTTCAGAAATGGATGGATTTGGGGGTTAGTATCTTATAGCAAATATTGTAACCCTGACCTGTTTAAACTAATTAAAGTTTTGTGTTCATAGATGCTGGGAAAAAAACAAGAACAAACTGCTGCTCTTGTAGCCTGGTTCCCTGACTCTACTTCAAACGAAACGGAACAAGTTATAGATTACCGCTATTAACACCAATAATCGTTCCCAAAACATTAGTCAACCAATGACACACAGACAAGGGTTTACCAATGTTGTACACAGTACAAAAGATCTGTAGGCAAGGAAAGGGACGAGTCATGTCATACACAAATACAACCTTGCAATCAACAACACAGGTACATAAAAGTGCCATGCAAAACAATCTGGAGATTGCAGTAATTATTTCTTCAACTATGAAAAGTATTTTTTACAATGACTCAACAACAACTATCACAATATATTTATTTTGCTTTAACAATAACCATAATAAGACACATTCTCATTTCTTGATGGCTGCCTCTGAATATTCATGCATATGTTGATTAATTTTTTTTAATGAATATTCATCCTAGTTTTGTCTGCACCATACTGTATGCAAGCATGCACATCTACACATCCTACCAATTCCAGGTTTTGTCGCATTACAAACAGTGGGCGTGGCCTACTTGTCTGAGTTGACAGCCCACTGTAGGGGAGGCGTGTCAGGCAGAGTTCATGAATATGCATAGGGAGTAAAGTAAATCTTTTCCATTGGTTAGTCTATACAATCCATACACACACATGCACCTATGAATTCGTCCGATCCCAGATTTTAATATTCATGTTGAACAAAGAAAAGTGGGCGTGGCCTACTTGATTGAGTTGACAGCCCGCTGTGGAGGAGGCGTGGCAGGCTGAGGGATCAGCACAGGAGGCGGGACAGGAGATGGAAGCTCCTGATCAGGGCTTCTCAGTGAGTAAGTAGCGTTAAAAAAGCAAGGGTTCGCAGAAAACAAATCATACAAAGTCAAAGCAGGGTTAGAGTATTAATTCCAACTTCACCATAAAACCCTGGTATGTTTGTGTACAGTGGCCACTCCCATTGAAATGTTTCTTGAGACAGCATGCGAACCACAGCAGCGAAAATTGTAAATGCATTACGACGTCCGTGGCTCCGTGCAATTTTCAAAGCATGCAGATTCAAGTGAAGAATGCCGTGAAGAATGCTTCACAAGCACTCTGAGCTCCAAATGTCTTGAGTCGAAGATTCTGATGATGTGAAAGTTGTGAGATCCGCTTAAACTTACCCAATGAAATAATCCTCATCATGACTGGCACTCCAGAAAATGTACCTCCCAAACATGCACCAAGTACCAATTAGGAAGCAATCTTAACACTTAGTAGTTCAACTTCAAAAGAGAAACCAAACTGTACATTTAACTAGGTCCGAGACTGAAAAACCAAGCCAGATTTCAAACCAACAAACAAACTCCTGTGGCGTCACACTATTGTTTTTTCTGACCATTAAACGCAAAGTCACATCCTTAATTACCACAGAGGTGAAACAAACCGTAACGGCCATAATGCAAGGAGCTAACCGTCTTCAACATTGATCCCAATAAATATGCATAAAATGTTGTATCTGGGATGTAAATGACTATTATGTAACTGGCTTTATCCAAAAAAAAAAATCATTGATAGAGTATTCACACATGCATTTGAAGGTAAAGCCACAATTGTTTTCATGAATTTCCAAAGGGTAAATGTACCCTCAAGTCGACAATGCGGTGACACAAAACAGTTGGCGACTGACTTTTCAGTATGAAGCTGTGCCTGAGCTATGACCGTCGGGAACAAACCAGTTGCCCATTTTTTGCAACCTGAGTGTAACTGAGGTATCAGTCGGCGCTTTAAAAAAATCAACAGTCGCAACAGTAGAAGAATTTCAACTTCTGCGACATGTCCCGACAGGCGGGAATCAATCGCAGTCGTGTAGTCAATCATGTGTGGCGTAAATGGCTGAATAAACAGCTGGTGTGGCCGTGGATGACATTTGATTGTATCAACATGCTATTGTTAAAGAAGTCACATGACTGTTTATGAAGTGGAATCGTCGTCGCGTCGTGGGTGACATGAGGATGGTTGTGATTATTTTGTGTTGAGATGCTGCCTGTTCCACGAGAATCACAAGATTTCTCAGTTTTGTGACCTGAGCATTACTTTTCTGCTTGATGCCAATTGTTCCGTCGTGGCACAAGCAAATCGTGGGCCGACCTGAGGCCGGCTTTAGATAGCTCTGTACGTAATTTGATATCATTTCAAGTGATCAAAGAGGACATTTTTGGGCCCAATGTTATCAGCCCAGGCACATGGTGCGGCTGCAAATTTAAGAAAATTTAGTTCACTCGGCCAAAAAAAAAATCAAAAACAAACTTGGGATGTCTTGGAAATATTTCAACAACGTTGTTTGCTGGAAATGATTTGTGACCCCCACTTTAATTTCCAACTCCCATTTACATGTGTATGAACCACACTCGCTTTAATGTTTTAACCTAGACTAATATGTCATATATTGTAGTTAAAATATCAGCCTAAGTGACAAGGCGTTCGGCAAAAGGGTCTGATGATCGATAGCGGTTGCTGGTAATCCAGTGATAAAATCAAGAAAATCATAAGCAAGGTGAGGGGTTGTTCCAAGGCGTTCGTTCAGCACCAACTGATTTGCATATTGTAGCCTAACCGCGTGAGGTGGCTGTTCACGCTTCGTACAGAATGTGTGGGAGCAAAGCGTGTGGCTACTGTTTATTTTAGCGGCCGATAATAGATCATCGTACGCTATCGTCGAATGCCCTGAACAAGGCTACCTGTGTGTTTGTTCATGACACCAGAAAAGGAACAAAAAGCTTTTACTGAACAAAACTCCCTTGCACCATGAGGTATGTGCTAAGCATCAAGTCGGTTTTAAACTCTTGAACATAGGGTCCAAACGTAGTATGTTCTAATACAATACCTTAAAAGTGCGTAAGTGCAAAAAATGTGTTTATCACATGAAACTGACGGTGAATTTATCCATGGAGAATGTAGTCATGGTGTAAAAATGGACAAATTGAATTGAATTTACCATAATAATACGAAAGTAAAGTATTTCAACTAACTATTGACTTCCTTTTTAATACCTTTGCTGACGCATTATTAAACTGCATGGTATGCTTACCTTGTCGCCTGCTTGGGAAGGACTTGCCGTCTTTTGCCGCACATCAGGGTGAAATACTGAGCAAAATTTAGAAACGATTATCAATATAATTAAAATAATGGTAATGAGAATACTATCGTAAATAGTACCATTTGGGAGACACCAGAGGCAAAATTTTACGGTCGCAAACAGGCTAGACCGATTGTTCGTGGTCCAGTTGGTAAAAATACCAACATTTGTGGGGATAGGATAGAGGAAAATTGGGGTTAGGGGTCAGGAAGGTCGGGAAAAAAATGTGTGCGCAAGTCTATGGGAATGTCTCCTTAAGGCTAATATTTTCGGTTGTTATTATAACTGTTCTTATATATACGCTGTAGCTTTCCCATCTTGGCAATACTCGACAAGATTTGAAGACAATTATACAACAAAAAATTTAAAACTTAAAAATTATAATCAAAAAGTAATGTGGACAAAAAGTAACGTTTTCGTTTTGCTGAAAGAACACTGAACTTTTTGTGATCCATGGACAGAACCTTAAAACGGCGGATGTGTTAAAAACTCCGTAACTTGAAAAGTACATGAGTGATTTGAATGATTCTTGTACTAAAAGAAAGCTTATGAATTGAGCTTTCATATCCTAGATTTTGAAAGTGCTACATGCAGAACTTCACTAAAACAATGGTCTAGACATTTGGGTTTTGGTTTTTTTTGACACACTCTGTAGTCCAAAAAGTGCCCCCAAACCGTTTTGCCTTTTACTCCCTGTGCTGCCCCAAACTGTATGTTTTTTATAGATTCTTCAGAAAATATTTACATTGTAAGGCGATGTAGTACGGTGCTAATAATAATACAAGCAACAGCATGTTTGTATTACAAATCCTTGACAAATGTAATGTGCGTGTGTTGGGTTTGCGAGCTACAGTGCCGTGAGTCGTTTTGAAGAATTCTTGGTTTTGTTATTAGAAATTCCAGCAAATTACCTCATCGCTGTGGTGAAAAAGTGGACAGAAGACATTCTCCATCAACTTGTAGGCATGCTCGTAGGCTCTGTCCAAAAAAAAGAAGAATAATAATCAAACCAATAACCAACGACTTGTATGTTGAACTCTATCGTGTTTCATACTGTTAGTTAAAATCTCACAATGTGAGGTGTTTTGGCAAAATGAGACGGAACTGGGCAAAGGCCACAGTGGAGAAATTTACCAAACAAAACTGAATGTTGGTGATTTCAGATTTATTGATACTTTGTTATCTTTGATATGTCTTCTACACATATTATACAGAAGTAGAACAAACAATATGAAATAAAAGTGGTTTAAAGGAAAAACAGTTGGCATCTTTCATTTTCACAACAAAACTCGAAACTTTAAAGGCCTTTTGCTAGAATAAACATCGTGAAATAAAAGTGGTTTTAAGGAAAACAGTTGGCATCTTTCATTTTCACAACAAAACTCAAAACTTTAAAAGCCTTTTTTCTCAGTATTCGACTTTTTTGACATGTCGATAGATGCAAATTTAAACGGCCATAACTTGTTAACGGAATGTCCGATTGAAGTGCAACAAACAGTATTGTAAGGAGAAGTTTATTCTTTCCCAATACCAGCAAACCTTCATCTCGACCTCTGCCCAGTTCTGTCTCATTTTGCCAGAACGCCTCACAAATGTTGAGAACTTTACCTGAACAAAGTTGATGAGGTCCTGAGTCTTGTTACGCCTTCGTACGGTCCATTAACAACTAAAATACAACAAAAATAATATTAATAGTACTGATGAGGAAAAATATGGTCATATATCGCGAAGAATTTTTCTTCGAAATTGATGGAGCACATGGTTTCTTATATTTGTAAACTCTGCATGATGCCTTGTAAATATCAATATTCACACCAAAAGCAAAGACAGGTTTTCTTTATTGTGAAACATTTATGTTCTCCTACAACGGAATTGGGCACTTTGTGCTACGGCTTCAGTTCTTGCCATTACAGCACCAATGGGAATAGCCATAGTAATAACCACAGCCTTACTCTCTTTTTTGTCAATACTACACTGCTGTGAATAGCCACAATAATAGCCACAGCCTTACTCTGTTTCTGTCATATCTACACTGCTGTGAATAGCCATAGCAATAGCCACAGCATTGCTCTCTTTTTGTCATTACTACACTGCTGTGAATAGCCACATTAATAGCCATAGCGATAGCCACAGCATTGCTCTCTTTCTGTCATAACTACATTGCTAGGAATAGCCATAGCAATAGCCATAGTGATAGCCACAGCCTTACTTTCTTGCATCTCTGCCTCAATGTCCTCGTCAAACTTGATCTTGTCCACGGCACCGGGGGCAAAATACAGCAGGTGTAGATCCTGGGCTTCCCCGTGCAGGGACTGCTTCTGTTCGTCGGTCATGTCCGGCACCAGGCTGCGTCTGTTAAAATCCTCTGCCAAAGGACAAACATTAATGTAAATTATCATATTGTCTTTCAAAAAGCATTTTTTTTTTTTTTGCAGGTAGCGATTGAGAGGGATGACGATGATGTTTGTTTGTGTGCAACTTAAAGAAAAGATGAAGTGGTGGGGTAAAAAGATCAATATTCAGGGTTGGTCTAAAAAGGAAGCAGTGTGCATTTGAATCGATCTGCCTTTAATACCCGAGTCGATCTGGGTGAGCTACTCGAACGCACCCTTCAACTTCAAGACCAGGACCCAATTCCACGGCGCTGCTAACCACAGCATTCCGCGCTTACAATCACAACTTTGTGCTAACCACACTAGCAGAACAATTTTGTGCTAACCCAGTAAAGACCAAATCCTTTAGTTACGGGATGTATGCATGCGCAGAAGCCAAAATTCCTCCCTAACCCATGAAATGCGCTTACTATAAGCACAGAATTTTCCGCTATAGTAAGCAGGGATTTTTCGTAAACTGTAAGCAGGGCCAAGAAATTGGGCCCAGTTATTCCCTACAGAAAACATTATCTTTAATAAATAATAAAGGTTACCAGCCAAAATCTCATGTGATATATTACTTTGTAACTGGTTCCCTACTTAATTTTGTTGAGAACATAAATCTGCTTAGCAACTCAGTGTCATGGAGCCCAGTCACGTACCCACTGTCAGGCAGAACTGTAAGATGTTTAGAGCCCCGTCTCGTTTCATGTACTGAAGGAATGGGAAGAGGAGAGAGTGGTCCCCCAAGATCTCAGACATCTCATACTGCAGAGCCTATATACAGATAAAAATAAAAATGACAAATCTCAAAACTTGAAAAACTTTATTCCTAAAACATCATCATTCATCCAACTGATCAAAAAATCTGGAAATCTCCCAACGGATGTATTATTTTTTCACTGGAAAAAAAAATAAATCAAATTTAATCTTACCATTCCTGTTTCTCTGTAATGCCACAATTTTGCATTTTGTCACAAAACGTGCATACCTAAATGGTAGTACAGTTTGAAGTTGCCATATTGTGTTTGTGTAACTGAGGCTGAGGCTTGGGGAATGTGGTGTGATTAGCCCAGGTTGGACGAAGTCTTCATTGCAATACGACTAACGTCCAGGACGACAATTCTCTACATGAAACCACCCAACATTTTTACCAGAGTTTTGTTATGTTTTACCTCGTTATAGAAGCTTATTTCACGCCTACATACTCTATGTATCCTTATCTATTAGGCCACTGGGTTCAGGAATTCCATATGCGATGCTGACTGACGTTAATCAGGAAAATAAACTCCAAAGCAATGTTAAACTTGTACGTGTTTGTAGTCTCTATTCATCAGTTTATTCCCAGAGTCGTACGTCATGTACAATGTACATGATATGTACAAATGTACGTGCGTACGATCCGAAAGCGCGCACGCACGCTAGCGCCCTCATTTGTTTAGTTTTGGTTGGAACCGTGACGTCACTCCAGCCAACCGATGTCACGAAAACGCTCAACCAATGACCAAAGCCGAAACGTGTTTCTGGTAACTGGCGCGAAAACACGCTCGGTCATTGGATTAGCGACCGCGCCTTCAAGTAAGTGCGCGTGCGTATGAGGGTGGTTACTAAGCAAATCTCGCGTGCGCACTGCATATTCATGCGGCATAGTCTGTCCCCCGGACCAGATGTGATATGAGCGTCGAGAATAATTGTCCGGTCTAGGGAACCAGACTACACGCTGCACAGACGTACATGATGTACGACTAGAATAGACTCGGCGGTGAGAAACTGATGAAAAGAGACTAAAAACACGTACAAGTTTAACGCTGCTTTCGAGTTTATTTTCCTGATTGACGTCAGTCAGCATCGCATAAGGAATTCCTGAACCCAGCCGCCCAACAGATAAGGACACATAGAATACTACGACGTAAAAATTAGCTTCTCCAACAAGGTAAAAATATTGAAATTATTGGTCAGAAATGTTTCCGTTCGGTTGTGAGCACTGTTTACCCAGGACTCCCTCCGTAACGTAGGGAGGAAAGGGAGTCCACCAGGGCTAGTGGTGTGATATACTGCATGTACATGCGCTGTACATTGTATCACTTGCATGTTTATGCATGCACAGTTTTTGCACACATAGTTGGCATGTGCAGTACATGTAGCCTAAACGTTTTGTGTATGTTGGTAGAGGGGAACTGGTAACAAATAATAATAACAGGTTCTTATAATAGCGCTTTTAACTACGATCAAAGTACTTTATGTTATTATTACCCCTGATCACTGGGCCAATTAAACATTCCAAATACCAACTCAGCTCCCTGGGGAGTATACAGCTCGATGCAGCCTGTTAGGCACAAGGAAGCTAATTCAATCACGATAACCATCTCTGCCCTCACAGGTACCCATCTACTCCTGGGTGGAGAGAGGCAATGAGTGACAAAGGGCCTTGCCTAAGGGCACACACACCATGACCCTGGGCTGGACTCGAACCCAAAACCTGCAGCTTTACCCACAGACCACGAATTCAGTGCCCTTAACCATGAGGCCAGAGGCTATGATGTGAACTATGTATACCCACCAAAAACAGAAAAGAAACGGTTGACCGACCAACACTACTGATATTTTTCATGCGAGGGCAACACAACCACTGTTCTTGGGCCCGATGAGAGATATCAAGACTTACGCTAGACTTGTTGACGGGATGGATGTTACTGAAGGATTCCAACAGAACCACTTTCTCAGATGGAGGATCTGTTGCCGGTGGGAACTGCACAGGAAAATGAAACAAAATGTTAAAAAAAGAACTGTATTTTGTGGTTTTTGTTACTTAATTTGTGTTGTACACATACAATACAGTCGTTCAATAAAGCACAGAAATACCTCTGTGGTAGCATAGAGGTATTGTTTAAAAAAATTAATTGAAAATAACAGTAAGAAAAATTAACGTTGAAATAATCAAATTTCACACTGTTCGTATTCTCAGTGCATGTTAAAACTTACTGGTTCTTCATCAAAGAATATCATGAGAAGCTTGTTCACAATATCCTGCAAGAAAAATATAACAGAAAGTCAGAATTTCACCCAAAAGAAATCCATGTATTTAGCTGCACAGACTACGCATGAAAGACAATACAGGACACATCTGGGGTGTCTTCCACTTACAACTTACACTTACTTCCAAGTGCAAATGGGACCGACTGTTTGCCACCAACTTTAGCGGACACGAGCGACAAAGACCAACGGTCTTCTTAAATGTTTTCAAAATGGCCGACACACAATGAATATGTAATATATCAGACACACCGTATTTTAAAACACTTCTATTTTTTTCACAGAACAAAGTTGTTGCAGTTTACCAAGAATACCAAGAATGCATATTTCCAGTATATAACAACAACACAAATTCTAAATTAATATGGCACTGCTTTCCTGCCCCATAAAACATTCATATACCACCTCACATTGAATAGTTGTATAATAGAAGTGTTTACTTACTGGATCAGCCACAACGTCCATCCCTAGTAAGAAGATAGACCCACTTGCCACTTCTCGCACAAATGTTTGGGTGGCCCTGAAAAAAAATCCAACAAAAGTGGCTATGCATGATGTAAAACTTCACTATTAAAATTACATTTTTCAAAGGTTATTATCATATTTTCATCTGTTTGTGTTATCCATTAGCCAGACCCTTTGTGACTTCGCACTTACTTATTGTCGTGTGAATTCCTGGGAATCAACAATGGGAACAGCATTTCACATAGATGTCTGAGGTACTCCAGCTCCGCTTTGCGATTCCTGACAGCACAGTGTAGATGATTACCGTAGGTCTTGAACACAAGCTCCTGAAAGTCCTCTCCCCATTTGGCTGGGGAAGTACAAAACAACGAAATAATTGGATTTTTTCTCAATGACGATTACATTCTTTACATCTAATTCCCTGAATGTTTTTCTTGGAGCCGGCTAAAAGAAACCGAGACTAGTACAGAGTGCGACTGCTGAATCCAACAGAATCCAGTAACAAAAAAATATAAAGCCTACTAAATCCAACAGATTCCAATGAAATCAAAAAGTGTCGCCAATTAAATCTGACAGAATCGAAAAACAGCAATGTGTGAAAACTGCTGAAACCAACAGAATCAAACAGCAAGGAGTAAAGATTTGTAAATCTAACAAATTCCAATAATTGGAAAAGTTGAGTTTGCTGAATCAATTAGACTCCATCAACATTGAGAACAGCCTACGAAATCTAATAAAACCAATCAAAATTTTACCTCAGGGAAACATAAATTTAAGTTCGGTTTTGCCCTTAATTGACGTAATCTCATTAAACATTGTATACACACTGTAAGATGTCTGCACTAGTAAGCAGGAGGTCGTGGGTTCGAGTCCCACCCGAGTGAGTTTGTGAATTTTTCACCCTCTTTCAAGCCCTCAGACAAACCTGAGTATATAGTGGTTACAAAATTATGTTGATGAAGGGTAAAACGCAATAATGTCAAATTTTCACTTGCAGATGACTTTCAAGATCTCAATACCTTTTTGCTTTGCTCTGAGCAAGACATCTAGATGACACAAGGCGGCCTTGACGAGTTTGTCGAGTATAAACGTCGGCAGGTCCACATCTCTGACACGGCGTAGTACCACGGCGACCAGGTGACGAAGGGTGACCCGGAGCTCATTAACAAACTCTTCCTCCTTGCTGATCAGGGGACTGCCGAGAATGATACGGTGGGCAGAGGGATTTCAGTGAAAAATCACAGGAATTGTCTTCTGGGATAAAGAAGGCCTTACAACCACAAGGGGGACTGACTACGTGCATTATATGATAATTTTAAAGTTGAAACAAAGAAATTAACTGGAACAGGGTTTGAACTAGTCTATGGAATTTCCTCTTGTACAGCAAGGGTCTATGAAATGTGAGCAGATTCGGCGATTAATTATGTAAAACGAGACTGCATCTTGACCTCGAGATTCTGACCATTCAGCAGGCACCTTCTATATTGGGTCTTCGGTAACCCGTTGTCATGGACATCTAATGAAAACTAGACACAACATCTGTTATGCTTTTATGTTGTGAATTGTGTTCGCAAAAATAGGCTGCGTCACGCAGCCTGTAACGATATGTTAGGCAATACGCGAACGTCCTGTGGCTTCGAATGATCATCACATAATATTTTTTAAAAACGCGTGCAATATGAATGCCCTCTTGCGCGTTTACATCACGCTCACGATGAGTGTTCATATTCTATAAGCGCAGCATTTTGTTAATAGTTTTGAGGGCCAATGTTGTGTCTAGGTTTTATTAGATCTCTATGCCTGTTGTTGTATTACAAAAACATGGCATCCAAATTGGCCAATCAACAGCTTAGTCCACATTTCCGATTGAAACGACATCTCAGTTGGTAAAGTCGACTCCGAATGGCTGGTGCGCGGGGGTCGCATAAATTTGCATGCTTAGATATATTAGACATTGGACTGGAGAAAGAGAGGGCTTCGTTGGACAGTGGGTGATCATACTCAGACTAGGTTTGAACCTGCGACCTCAGGATTGTTGTTCCAGTGCTCTACCAACTGAGCTATCCAGCCCTATGTTGGCGGTTGCCAAAAACACTCTTTACTACCCCAAACCACCTCACATGTTAATTCCTGTACCCCATTTATGGTTTTAACAGGAGTAAATGGCAGGAAATGTGAAACTTGAAGGTCACATATTGAAGTGGTTCCTGGAATGAACCAAGTAGATGAAACACTTGTGAGAATTGGGGGGAAAAAATTAAGTAATAAAAACAAAATAGACAGAAAAATTTAATCACTTACGTGTACCAGCTGTAGACATAATCTCTAAAAATCAGCTCGAAAAGCTGCAAATGAAATCAAGAAAAATGGAGATGGAAATTTATTATGCAACATGTATTTCCACTATATTTCCAATACATGTATTTCCACTATATTTCCAATACATGTATTTCTACTATATTTCCAATGCATGTATTTCGATACAGACAGTCCTCTTGAGATAAAAATAGGTAAAGGCACTGTAGTATAAACAACACTCTTTAACTGTTAGTGCACAGAACCTATACAAGCAGAATCCTACCTCTGACAGGGCCACATCCACTCGTTCTGGTATATAGATGTCATTCCAGGGTTGTACTTTGTTCAATGTAAGATCTGACCTGTTAAAGAACAAAAAATAATCATTTAAATTGTTCTTATCAAGACTTCACCATTTAAATCAATTACCAAAGGCTTTTTTTGCAAGTATGCGATGTGAAACAACCATTAACGAACAAGGAGACCTAGGAAGGAAAAAAGGCCGGCTGTGAAACATTGTAAATGAAATTCGTTTTTACCGATCTCTAAGTGATTTTTCATCAATTTTTTGATGAAAATGACAAGATGAAATTCAAACATCAATCTTTCATGGGGTGATTACAGTTAGACATTCTGCCAAAAATTATAGTAAGAGAAAAGGCAACCCAATGTAAAATGCCCATAGGCGGGCCGCCGGAAGCTGAACTACGTGACCTTTTACTTTCAGGCTCTATTCTCAAAAAGTAGTACCGAGTGCGAGTAATACAACACTGTCAAACATTCTATCATAACATCAAGTTCACGTTAGTAGTTGCATACTTGTGCCTCATGCAATCCGAGTCGCCACACACAGTGCAGATGTGGGCCAATGGTTGCTCTCTGGCTGTGAGTGGCTTCTTTCTCTCGTACATGATCAGAAGGTTGGGAAGGACCGAGATGCGACTGAAGAGGATGTAGAACGAGGCCATGCCGCCCAGGAAGAACCATGGTATGGCGAGGATGGACAGGTGGCTGAGGGTGAGAACCAAGAAATTAAAATAAAACATGTATATCAATGAACAAATAGACAACAATGACACATTGGGAAATTATATAAACTGGTTCCCGCTTGTATGATATGTATACAAGTCCATTCTGAACGACAGTAGTGGAGTCGGGAACCAGGGTATGCATGAACTGGTTCCCGCCCATATAAATTCTGACCAATCATGAAGGGACTAGGGCGGAAACCAATGTGAATATGATCGATTTGCCTCATGCATGTCATGTGACAATGTTCACAATCACAGGCATTTTAAAGTCTTTTTCCCCATCATGAGTCATGAGGCACGTTCAGACCTTACAAATCGTGTGAAACATCGCGGATTAATTATGTGTTTGAAGCCCACTGCCCATTCTAACAATTTCAGCCCCGCCCCCTTCAGACAGCCCTTTTTAAACTGACCGACCGAAGAACTTTTTCTTAGACCACCGACTCTGTTAAAATCTCAATGATTTCTGCGGAATAAAACATCCGATGAATGGAATGAAATACCACTCACTTATAAAAGACAACGGTGAGCAATGTCAGGCAACCGATCGCCGCTGAAAACCGTCCATTTCTTGCCATTAGCTCTCGCAAATTGGCGACTTCTTTGCAGATCACTTGCCAAGCAGCCATCTTCGCGAATTTTTGTTGACAACTTGAAAAAAAACCAGGTTCCGTTCTAAAACCACGTCCAGTTGTTGTGCCGATGAGTAGGGAACCATACTTAATCCGATTACAACTGGGCGCCATACTAACTTGCCTTTACAATCTATAGGGAATCGTGTCTGAAACCCAGAGACACCATCTGCTACACATTAATTTTGTGCACAAAATTTAAATAGGCCCTAGGTTCAGTGTCAGATTGTCCATCTTGCAGGTTTTTGGGATGTTTTCAATTTGTTTGATCGACTGTTTTGCTGAGCTGGCTGTATTTCAGAGTTGTGAGTTGTTTGTCGTCCATAATTGTCTCATGCGTGTGCATTTGATCATGTTGATTGGCCCTAGCTATTATATAAAATCATTTGTTTTGGTGTTTTTTTTTCGGGGGGGGGGGGGGGGTGGCAATCAAAGTTTTACCCTAAACAAAATTCACCTGCATTGCAACTCATCCCATGGAGTTTGCTTGCAGTATTGATCCAGATCCAGATTGACGTTGTCATTGATGTTAGTCCTTGAGGCTTGATGCTTACTTTTTTTATCGTTTTTGTAAACAAGTCAAATGAGAGACCTGTGAACGTGGCGTGTTTACACGCCATGTTTCCCAGTACACAGGTCTAGTCAAATGTATTTGTAAAAACCGTGTTTTTGTCGAGTGCAATTTGGAATCTTGCACAAGATTATTGTACTCCCTCCTGAGCTCATTTCCCTTTCATTGAGATCCATTCATAGAAATATGAAGAGGGAGGACAATAAACTTGCGAAAGCGTCCAGATTGCACTCGACAATTTAACGATAGACCTATAACAAAGTTGAAGTGAGTGAATAAAAGTTAAATTTGATATCACTATTAATAAGGCCCTTAATTTCATATGCTTTCATCACTTTCACGTCAAATTTGTTACCCAATGTCTCTTAAAGGGAATGAAAACCCATTCTTATGACGTATTGAACTCATCAAAGCAGCTGTTGAAGGCCAGACTTAAGTTTTCGTTGTGATTCCTGGATCTCAGTTTGGGGAAGTAAAGTCTGAGAACCATTTGGTTGATGCATGCATGCCCATTAGTCGAACTTCTGAAAAAAAAGAAAAGAGCAGTTCTAAAAGTAACTAATGCCGCAGTTTTGAAACTTTTGATTGTGTAATTAATTTGACTTTTATTACATTACAGGATGCAGATTACAATGTCCAGTGTTGACAAACCAACTGCCGGACCGCAGCGGAGAGTAGCAACCAGAAAGCGAAGCCTGACCAACACCAGTGCAAGAAGTATAACAACTGCCACAAAGAAACCCAAGAGCGCAGAAAGAGAAAACTCCCAAAAATCCTGTCAAACGTACACCTTGTGCAATAGTGGTACAGTCCACAATCCAACTGATTCATTATGCAGCACACTGTCAGCAGAGAAACAACCATTGCGTGTTGAGGGGGTGTTTCTGTCTGATCAGTTGGAGGGGAAAAGCAGAACTAATCAGCCCGGTGCAACAAGTACAATTTATAATTTTAACATTGCTAAGACGCCTACAAAGTTAAGCTGTCGTGAAGAAATTGGATCCATCCAGCATAAGAGGCCTTTGTTTAAATCTCAAAGCACGCACCGTGACAATCAGGAAGACACCAAGCTTGCCAGTGAGGGTTGCGTTAGTCATGGGGGAGCGCCAAGGAGCATCCAGGGGCTAAGCAGTCCCTTGGTGTGGCCAGATGGTGACAATGATGAGGAAGACTGGAGATTGGTCGCTGAACTTGACTCTCAAAACTCACGGTCGGCAAAACACACAGGCAGTCACATCTCCAATTCGTTAGAGGAGGTACATGTATGTGGTTGTTGTGTCTAATCTATTCGTATTCCTTGTGATCAAAATATTGCTCCTTCAAGGAAAATTTGACTTTTCAGGTCTTGCTGCCCAAAAAAAACTGTTATATTGGTAAATTGACTTGACCAGAGTCAAAGGCTCATCAATGCAAATAACAAGCTTCAATTTCATATCAAGTAGGGTTATCAAGTAGCAGCAATTAGGCGCATGCAAATATTTGATTAACCATTTGTTCCTACCTCATACTATCGTTACTGAAATTATCCCTGAACCAATTTTACTTTTTAACAGTGAAACTTCACACAGTCTCAGTTTCTGATACTTGAGTTAGTGCAAAAGTGTCAGTGACACTAATTGACTCGAGCAAGAATGGAACTTAGTGTGACTCAACTCGACCTTGTAATCCTAATGACTGGACTTGACTTGAGTCACTGCCCAAGAATGACTTGACTCAAGTCATTCTGATGTGATAATCTGTCCTTTCATTTGATTTTCCAGGAGGAGAAAGGGGACGCGTCACTCAGTTCCAGTCCACTACCACCGACCCCGCAAGCCTCCAGCCACAGAAATCACAAGCGAATCTCGTCCGTGAAGCTGCATGCGACGCAACATGCCACAGGCAACTCACAAAACAACTCGTTCGGGGATTGGGACGGCGAAGATTCGTTCTACGACAAACTCGACGTGGAACAGATCATCGCAGAGTCCCAGAAACCGAAAGTTGTTGAAGTCACCAAAGCGAGTTTGTCTGGCAACGACCACAGTGTGCTATACAAGGGGAAATGGTTTGTAGTACCATGATGTTTCTTTAATAAGCTAGTTCGGTATTTCAGCTGTGTGTGCGCAAAATCAAGATTTGACGAGTTTGCTTCCTGGATAAAACGATTCACCGTATGCATGCAAAAGCACAGCGGGTACCAACAAAATTAAACAACACGTCTTGTTCTGAAGTTAGAACAAAATTTCAGCACCAAGTTATGAGGTGTTTGCTGTACTCCAAATGTTACAACGTCCACTTTATTATTTTATCCGCAATGTTCATCAAAGGTTACATTATCAATTATCAACAAAATGTGTCACAAACTATTAATATCTTATTTGGTTTTTTTGGCACCTTACACAGGTTTGACTCATCCTCCCAAGCAAAAATTGGCGATTGCCCGACAAACGAGGGAAAATTATCGCCGCGGTCTCAAGCTCATCAGGGAATCTCACAAGAAACAAGCTCTAGAAAATGCAGTGTCACAAGTAATCGAGTGCTGACGAACGGTTGTGGGTATGGGCAACAGGTTCCGCTTAGAGATGAGACCAAACCAACAGAACCAAATTCCGTGACTCCTAAACAAGAGCAGTGGTTCAGCCAATTGGATGACAGGACCAGAAATATGCCAGGTCAGAATTCAGAAAGTCTTCCAAAGTCGAGATCAGACTCTCAAATCGAGACTGCAGAGAAGAAATCTCTGATTTCTCAACCACAGTCGTCCAAAATTGAGAAGTCATCCAGTGATCAGAATCCAGTGACGTCGACCAATCAGCAACACATTTCCAGGGATGTTGAACTCAAAACCTCAACCGATATACCTCGCTGTGAACTGACAACCCCCAAGGTTGTTTCATCCGCGAGCAGGCTGCGTCAGAGACTACAGAACAACGCGCGAGTGGCCACGCCGCAGCAAACGCGCCACTCGGAGTTACGTCAGGCCAAAGTGCAAGAGGCCTTGACGGAAATGCTCGGAGAATCTGCTGCAATCAAAGACAACGACATTGGGCCTTTTTACGGTCTACCCAGTAAAGTGGCAGAGCTGCTCAAGACTCATAGGGGAATAGATAAACTGTATGGTGAGATTTTGGCAAGATATGTTGGTTATTGAATAATTGAATTATGCTAGCTAGTCTCAGAAAGCTAGCATACTTGTCGGGGAAAATAAACATCAGTCAAATCTTGAGGAATCAAATCAACTTTTTTTCTGATATTATTATTATTATTAATCATATTTGGTAATGAAACCAAGGATTCCTCAAAAGCGCCCTAGGCACTGTAGCTCGCAAACCTGAAGAAACCTGTGGAGAGAAGACAATGAATAGAAAGTACAGTTTTAAGGGGGATGAAAAGCCCAGACTGAAAACCCAATCAACATATTTGCCCAGGCGGGATTCGAACCCGGGTCACAGCGGTGGAAGGCGAGGAAAGTGCCGCTACGCCAACCTGACTCCCTACGCCAACCCGACTCCCCAAATTCGGGTTTTTCAACCCTTAAAATAAGGGTTTTTTGTTTTGGGTAAAAACAGATCTTCTTTGCGAGCAGACTGACTCCCGGTCTGATACTGATTTTGGGGCAGGAACCAGCCTACCCTGCAGGAATGTAATTATAGTCTGGCAGCCAATAATTTGAAATTGTGAAGTATAATTCGATAACTGTACATGGGCCGACTTTTCTTCAGTCGATGTCTCATTCAAAAGTGAATAACTTGTTAATTGCTAGAAAAATAGCAATTTAGAGAAGGAATCTATTTTTCGGGATGAAACTCGAAAGTAGCACAGGGAACGCAATTTAAAAGGGCTTAGGCCTTGTGTCTGGGCAATATTCATCTATAAAAATTGAATTTCCTTCTCGTTTTGTTTAGATTGGCAGCATTCTTGCCTGACTCTTCCGGCAATCCAGGAGGGTCGCAACCTCATCTACTCCCTGCCTACCAGCGGAGGCAAGACCCTGGTTGCCGAGATACTCATCATGAGGCAGTTGCTATGCAACAAGAAGGATTGCCTGCTCATACTGCCATTTGTCTCCATTGTACAGGAGAAGGTGCGATGCATTGAGACTTTGTTCATTCATCTGTACCCCTAGCTATCAATAATCCACGGCAAGTGGTTCCTCACTGAACACGATCTGTTATGAGTCCCTTGCTCGTGGGTGCTTTCAGACTGAGTCATGTGTAGCATGTACGTACTCCTCTACTGCATCGCTCAGATGTGTTAAAAGGCACATAGGATCATTTGCATCTTTCCAAAAAGTAACCTACCCAATTATTATCAAAACGCTTACTTAGATTAAGCATCGTACTGGTACTAAACACATCGTGAAATTATTCCGTCTGGTTTGCTGTCATTCAGAAGAAATCAACAAATATAGGTGATTTCCAACGAACAGTCAATTGACTGATTTTTGGGAAATTAAAGAGTGCCTGACAAAATCATGGTTTTTCACTGTTTTCTCGAAAATGTGTAATTTATACTGAGCTGAAACTTCAACAGGGTTGATTTGAACATTGTTCTTTGGAATTTGAGTGGTGTCCTTTTTTTTTTCATTGTTCATCCCTTTTACTTGTGAGCTGACTTTTGATGTGACTTCATTTGACGTGATTACATTTCTGCCCCTCATATTTCTCAAATTAATGTAACGCAAGATCTGCATCCTGTTTGGGACCCAAATTGGCAAAAACTTTGAAGATGTACTTCAAATCTTGTCAATGTAGGTTGCTTCGCTGTCAATATTCGCTGTTGAGCTTGGGTTCCTAGTGGAGGAATATGCAGGAAGTAAAGGTGCCATTCCACCGCGCAAACACCGTAAGAAGAAGACGCTGTACATCGCAACGATTGAAAAGGCACATAGTCTGGTCAACAGTCTGATACTGGAGGGTAGGGTCGAGAGTCTGGGACTAGTCGTCGTGGATGAGGTGAGTCATATTTAGGCTCTCAATGCTATATATTGCAGATCTTACTGAATAGTTTCCGTTTTTGGGGGGTTTTTTTTGGTCTTTTAAAATGGTTAAATTGCGCACATCTGACCACATTTTCGAGGGAATTTTGCAGTTTTGGAATTCCATACCGAGTTTGTCTTTGTAAGTTTTGGTATTTTAGCAAACATCATTTGGTATTGTAAGGTAACAAAAAAAACAACCCAAATCAGAGTTCAGTTCGGGTCGGGTCTGTTTTTCCATCATTTTAGTTGGATCAGGTCGGTTTCGGTTTTGTGTTTGCAATTTTCGGGTCAGGTCCGTTTGGTTAAGCCATCTTTTGAAAAACCTTAAATAACTGAAGAAAAACATGAAATAGTTTGAAAATTCCCGTCAGTTTCGGTTCGGATTCAGTTATATCTAAAATGTTTTGGGTTGGTTTTGCCTGGTCAACCTGACCTGATGCATAACTTTATTTCCTAACCACCCAAGCCTATTCTGATGAATGCTTACACACAGAATGCAGTGCTTGTCTTTGGGCATGCAGAATATTTAGATAGTGACACACTGGCAAATCTGATTGAGATATTGATGCAGTGTTTTAACAATTTCACAGCTTCACATGTTAGGAGATGGAGGGCGGCGCGGGGCCAGCCTAGAGGCCTGCATCGCCAAACTCCTCTACCTCAACTCTGCTCACATCGTTGGGATGAGTGCAACGCTGAGTAACATCCAGGACCTGTGTGAGTTCATGAGGGCCGAGGTCTACTGCAGCGACTTCAGGCCTGTAAGTCCCTCACAAGTTGAACAAATAATAAATAATAATAATTGTGCTTATACAGCGCTTTCCATCGTATCAACGATCTCAAAGCGCTTTACAATTATTACCCCGTTCATCAGGCCGTGGGACCACGCGGCAGCCGATATCAGCGCTCAATCGGTCCTCTACCCTCACAGGTACCCATTTATACTCCTGGGTGGAGAGAGGCAATTGTAGTTAAGTGTCTTGCCCAAGGGCACAAACACCATGTTCCTGGCAGGGTTCGAACCCATGCACTTTCGCACATGAGTCAAACACGTCAACAAGTCCAATTTGGTCTAAACCTTAATTAAAGGTAGGGTAGATTTGTCATTTGTGTATTCTTTTTGTTTGAAGCAACAAAAGGGCTCAAAATCTAAAGAAGGGTGCTGAACTAAAATTATGAAGTTTCAGCTCAGTGAATGCTTTATATTCTGAGAAAACAATAATCTAGGATCACGGTTTCAATTCAAATGTTGCAGAGTCATGATTTGAATTGCGCCCGAAATCAGCATCCGGGACACATTCTCATTCAGCCAATTGCAGCTGTGCGATGTCACGCACTGAACCAACGAATAATAGCACGCATTCATGGATTCGCCGAATTACAAACCAACTACTAATGGAAATTTCCAAAAATGCGTCACTTGACGTATTTTTGAAATGGCCGTCTTTTATTGTTTTCTTCAAAATGACAGCATGCCAGAAAGAATAATTTCACATGGAGTTTATTACCATTACTATCTTTACACCAAGTAAGCTTTTCAACAATAATTTTGTAAGTTGCTTTTCGGATAGCTGCAAATAATCTACTCTACCTTTAAATCAAGACGTGATTTGTCATGTAGTTTCACTGCATTGATCATTATGTTCCTCTGTCCAGGTGGAGCTGAAGGAGTACATCAAGATTGAGGATAACATCTTTGAGGTCAACCAATCAGCTCTCTGCCCAGATGACAGGTTCATTCATTCAAGAATACTTACTTTCCCTGTGAGTCACTTGAGAACATGAGTATAGAGCTTGGAGGTTTTCTGTCTGGAAAGACCAAACAATGAAACAAACTTAATCTTTTCCTCTCTTACAATCATGATTAAGAATTTGAATATGCAGATGAAGGAATAATTGGTTTATGCATTTTGCTACTTTTTGTCATTGAGAGTCTGTTTATTCTCTTTGTTAAGGATGTTAATCAAGAATATATTTCAGAAAGATTATTCCCAAATCCATGTCAAAAGGACTTTCTTTTTTCCATGTAACATCAAATTGAAACATGTAACATCATTTCACAGTCACTTTTATCAAAGCAACAATGTACACACATAGATTGTATCTAATTAAGTTTTGCATTGGTTGATATAAACATTGGTCAGTTGATAACAAGTTTTTCCTATTCCCAGTGTAATATAATAAGCACTATGTGTTTGATGCATTCTCATGATTAGTGAGAAAAACTTCACTGACCTACTTGGGCGTGACGCAAACCCATGCAAGTGTGTATTTGCCTGCAATCGGGGACCCCCTATTGTCCCTCTTTTGTTTGTTCCTTTAACTTTTTGGGAAGACCTCTCATATGTTTTGTACACGAATCCAAATTGGGGACCCTATTGTCCTCTATTGTTCACTAGGGGACCTATTGAGTGCAGAAACAAACTCATGAACCCTTACTTCCGATTGTGTAATGTTGATATATGCATACTCATAGTTTGTAACCAGTTTACAAAATGGGGAACTGCCAACATAGGGCTGGATAGCTCAGTTGGTAGAGCACTGGAACGGTGTTCCGGACGTCGCAGGTTCAAACCCCGCTCCAGTCAATTTCTTTGTTCATCATATTCTGTGTTTACAGTACACGCGGTCCATGCGCCAGAACGATCCTGATCATCTGGTGGGTCTAGCGCTTGAGGTCATCCCGGTTCACTCCTGTCTCGTCTTCTGTGCCACCAAAAAAAGCTGCCAGAACGTGGCCGAATTCATCTGCAAACACATGCCCAGGTAAGAATGGCACACATCACTATACAGCGTTAGATTGCCTAGATTTGTACTAAGATCTTGCACTTCTACCCGTGTAAAAACTCTGAGGCGTCTGTTCTTTTGTTTTTTCTTCTTCTTTTTTTGGCTCAATAACAATTTTAAAGCTAGATTTATTATTGCTATTGTTATTATTTATTTCTGGTCTAATGCAACCAAGGATTCTAGGCCATACATGTCGGCCTAGACAGGATTTGAGCCTGGGTTACAGTGGTGGAAGGCGAGGAAAGTACCGCTACGCCAACCTGGCTCCCACAGTAAAATGCAATTTAACTCGAACTTAAACTCGAACCTTTTTGTCAGTATTTTACTTTTTGACATGTTGGATAATGCGAACTTTAATTAAACAGCCATTACTTGTCAACGGCATCCCGGATCGGAGTGCAACAAACAGTAGTGTAAGGAAAATTTTATTCTCTTTCCTAAAACACTCAAACCTTCATTTCGACCTCTGCCTCATTTTGCCAGAACGCCTCATATACTCAATATACAGTGGCAAAGAATTGTATTCTGTATCAGATGAAAACCTGTTTTAGTTAATATTTTCTGTAGTTACCGAATTTCTGTGCTATGCAGCCTGACAACTTGTTGCTATCACATGATCACATGCCGCACTCTTTGCAGGAACGAGGCCAAGAAACTGATGCATCACAAGCACAAAGAAAAGCACGTCCTCCTCCTGTCCCTGCGACGGGAATGCGACAACCACCTCTGCCCGACGCTCAAGCGGACCATCCCATACGGCCTGGCCTACCACCACAGCGGACTGACCATGGATGAACGTAAGCTGATAGAGGATGCGTACTCAGAGGGCACGCTGTGTCTGTTGACGTGTACGTCCACGCTGGCTGCTGGGGTTAATTTGCCGGCCAAGAGGTAATAGTGACAAGATGATTTTGACTGTGGACTCCGTGCAAAATGGAATTAGTGTACAAAGAGAGTTGGAGGGGACCACTGGGAGGGAGTCTTGAAGACATTTGCCAATGGGGCCCGACACTCACGCTTCTGCCCATTCGTGATAGCCTTGTTGACATTTTGAAGGATTGTAGAGCGCGGCGTATACAATCCCTTTTGTAATATACGTACTTTCCAGAGATATAACACAATGAAGTCCCTGCTCACGCAACAAGGCTACCACTAATGCGTTGTTTCGTGCAAGTACCCCTATAGGTTTGTGCACATTCAAAATGAGACGAGTCTTCATGCAATACACCCTTGAAGTTCCGTGAACCAAATGTACCAGTGTGTACTGTAACCATGCTATCTCTGTTTACACTTAATCAGGCTCAAACTTCAAAGTGAATTTGATGTTACACAATCTTTGTGGCCAATTATGCCATTTTTCAAAATTTGTTCAACTTGTTCAAATTCCTATGCGAATACTTGCTGTGGCTTCACAAATTCATATTCGCATTCATATTTGCTTCAGTACGAACTGGTTCCTAGTGTTATACAAGGTTGAATTGAAATGTCTGGCATGACTAAGGACATATGCAGGGCTATCTTTGTTCTCCTATATGCTGAGGCTTTGCTGGCAACGCATTGGATGACTAATACAAGGAATTTCTTCTCTTTGTGTCCAGGGTAATCTTAAGATGTCCCTACATCGCCCAGGATCTGCTTACTAGCACCCGATACAAGCAGATGGTTGGCCGAGCAGGCAGGGCAGGCATCGATTCATCAGGGGAGAGTATCCTCATCATCAAACCTAAAGAGAGAAAGGAGGTACACAGTGTTTTTTCTTTAATCCTATCCTCTTGTTTTTTTCCAAGACAATTTCAAGCATATGGTTGGTTTGGCAGAAGGGGCAGTATTCTCCTTTGAAAAACTTAGAATAACAAGCAATTTTCAAAATGTTCAAAATGGCTGCCATTGCTTGTTATTCTACCTATATTTTTTTCAAAGGACAAATCTGCGATGGCCCAATAGCCAAGTATCTTTCTCATTATACACTCTGACTGTGTGCCACATTCCATGTTTTTATCATCAAATGAACAATCCCATCACCTATCTGCCGTATTATTATGTATATGTCATTAACAAACTAAATGCACCACAAATGCCCCGCCCCCTTAACCAACTGTTTTTCCCCGGAAACACACAAATTGGCAGAACATATTATGACATAATTCATTATATTAATTCAGATTACAGAATTGCTGAGCCGACCCATTGAAGCCTGCTACAGCAGTCTGACACACGACGACAGCAAAGGCATCAGAAGCCTTATCCTGACACTGATTGCACTCAAGGTAAATCATACATACTTGTAAACAAGGTAATTAATTTAAACACTTACAACAATATTATTACTGTTGTTCGATATCTTGTCACCACTCAGTGAGCAACAAGGCTCCCATTGTTGTGTTGACGCAGAAACCACTTTCAATTCCTGCAAAATGAATAGTATTGTATTCAAGTCCATCACAAGTCCTCACAAGTCCATCACAAGACATCCAGCCCCAAGTCAAGTTGGTTTTGAAATTAGGAATGGGAAAAAATTCACATTTAATGAGTACACAACGTATACTACAAGGACTTAAAATTGTGCCAAAATGTACTTTGAGTACTTCAACATTGTTTCACAGACAAATGTTAAGACTCGAATGCACTCTCTGTTACATCTTTGGATTGCTCTAAAAGTGCTCTCACCAATTCACTTTTGACAGCTCACGCCACGTCGTAAGGCAGTCCTTAGTTTCATGAACAGGACACTGTTTGGCGTTCAGGCCATGTGCTTAGGAAACAACGTCAATGCCTTGACAGAAGAGGGCCTTGGAAAACTCCTGGAAATGAATCTGATCAACGAGAAAAGGTGTGAAGTATCTTCAAATGATGCATCCGAGTCTGAGTTGTCAGTCACAAAACACGGCCAAGCCGCATTCAAAGGTCAGTAAAAGGCACTGTCTGAATTTTGGAACTTAACTATTATGGCTTCGTTTTTTGTCATTAAAATGCAACAGTGGATAAAGCCGTACAAAACAGTGCCTGTTTCAGACATGGCCTGACATTAGCAAATACAAATTTAGTCATTACTGGCTCTGCATTGGTAAAAGCAAAAGAACAATATTCTGGTGAATTTTATCTTTTCTTTGACTACAGTGCCTGTTTCAAACATGGCTTTAACCGTAAATTTAAAGAGTTTTCAGTTTTCCAGTTGAGAAACGGGCCATACTTTAAATCAAATCCTATCACCGCCCAGGTTCCATTGACATCGACCTGTGTGCCTCCATCTACAATGACCTGAAGCAGGCTTGCGACGAAGGACTGGTCCTGGCCAACTCGCTACATCTTCTGTACCTGGTTACGCCCTACGACCTGGTCTCCCATAGCAACCCAAACTGGGTCGTATACGACAGGCTGGTACGTAGAGCGCAATGGTCCAATGGTTACGATGTTCAACTCATGTTCATTGATTTGTGGGTTTGAACCGTGATAGAGATCATGGTATCATGTCCTTGGGCAAGACACTTTACAATTGTTTCCACCCTGGAGTGTGCAATATATGTCAATGGGTAACTGAAAAGTAGAACTGGTGGATACAATTGATCTCATAGCCAGATGAACAGGGAAAATAATTGTAATTTTTTTCCGATTTTGTATAAAGTAAAATATAAACACTACTTAATTGTATTGTTGAAAAATGAATTAAACTGCTGCAGATTAATTACTGACAACATTGACCTGAAATAAACAAAAAGGGTCCTGAAAGTTTAATCCTAGCAGGACCATTCCCAAACTTATAAGCAATTGTACCCAAAAAAATATTACAAAGCATTCTAAAACCTTTAAGTCAGTGACATTGTACAATTTCTAAGACAGTGATTGTAATCCTCACATTTTTGTTTTGTTTTTCACCCTGATTCTAATTCATTCTAGTACTCCAAGTTGAGTGATGGTGATTTGAGAATAGCCGAGCTGGTGGGCGTTACAGACAAGTACCTCAACTTCAAAGTGGCGGGCAGGAAAACCCACAAAGTAAGTCTTGAGATGAGTCTAATATTGAAATAAAACGAGTTCAGAGCACCTACGCAGCACTTTATTCTTGTCTACAAGGTGCGCATGTGGACTTATTTCCAGTTGTTTAAATGTACATACAGTTAGTTCTTCTAGGAAACCTAGATCTGAGAGCACCTTTACATGAAGGACTTTATGCTTTTGTGCATACATGGTCTTTTTGCCATATCGAGTTGATAATGCTACAAGATTTCATTCAAACAAACCCAAGGCTTCTTTATTAATTGTAAGTTTTCCAAAATTTCAAGATTTGCGAAACACAAATTTATTATTTTTTTTTTAAGCTTTCAAACCAGTTGAAAAAATAGACCACATGTGGAGGTGGGGATCAAAATCAAGACAAACAAAGTTCTGCAGTTGGAAATGGAGTAGTTCGAATTGAAAGTATATAAGATAATTTGCATTGGTCATAAGTTCATGCAACAGAATAATTTAAGGGCTGTTTTTAGCAGACATTGTTCCTCTGAACTGTTCCATATTTTGTGTCCAGTGATGCTGGAAAAACACGGGAAAAAACATCAAAGTGCAGCTCACGGAATCTGTCATGAAAAGAACCGTAGATCACAGGTAGTGCCCATTGGCCGGCTCTGTAGTTCAAAGTAACACTTACATACAACTAGCGTAACCAAGCGTACGCATGAAGTCATTAGCTGAAACTGCCCTGCCTGTTTCTCCCTTGCAGTAATGCCTGAAACTGCCCAAGCACTCTGTGGTGCAAGTGCAAATGAGTTAAATGCAGACAACTGGTCCTTGGGAATAATAAACTCAACTGACTTTTTGTTTTATGACATCAGCCCAGTGCAGAAACGGATTTTCGAGTGCGTCGGTTCTACCTGACCCTGATGCTGTGGATGATCTTGAACCAGACCGGGGTCTGGGACGTGGCTGCCAAGTTTGAGGTCCCCAGAGGATTCGTTCAGAATCTTTTCACCTCTGCTGCCAGTTTTGGGTCGAGCGTCCAGCGCTTCTGTGAGGTTTGTGAAAACTATTGTTGCATTTCCTAGAGATTGAAAACCATGGTCTAACATTACAGGCGATTCCTAATACAGTGCGCCACATAGAGGTTGCCACGGAGAGTCTATGTTTTGCAGTGCATTGTGGGAGACGGTAGACACATTCACAAGGCGCAGGACACTTAAAAATTTTAAGTTTGTCTGATCAGAGGTCTCATAAGCGTATGATTCAAGTATCTTCTTTCCTTCTTTTCTTTAAATCAAGATTGTTTTTTGGGGGGAGGCGACAGAATGCTATATGCTCCGATCTATCAAAAATTTCCTCAAGTTCTTTACTGACATTTTGTTTGAATCGCAGCAAGTCGGCCATGTTTTTGTCGACCATAAACTTGAAAAATTGACTCTCCGGGGCAGCCTCTTGGTGGTGTACTGTATTGGGAATCGCCCGTATCGGACAGTTTTACACTTGCGAGAAGTTCAAGCCTTGCCCCCCCCCAAAAAAAAAAATTATTGCCGATTAATGTCAAAATGAATTGAACTTTTGGTTTTAGATTTCGGTAGGCTTAAGCAGGGATCGATACAATACACCCTTTGGATATATCACAAGCCAATCTGTATTTATGGGCCTCCTTTTAGTTTAAGTTACTCATATGCTAGGTTTTTGTATTTTCTTCTTTTTTTTTGTCTTAGGATCTACCAGAATTCTGGGCCTACCAACAGCTACTCACCAAGGTGGTGTACGACCTGACATACTGCGCGACCGCTGACCTGGTGTCATTGCTGGAAGTCCCAGGAGTCAAACAGGTCAGGGGCAAAAAAGTTCATATTTAATTTCATTGAATCTGGCCCTGCACATGAATGTTGATGGGTCACATTGCACAAGATTACTGAAAATGCTAATTACGTCAATTGTACATGAGCCGAGACCACAAGTTTTATCTTTTTTATTCCTGACAACAAGACTCTATGTTCTGAGGGTCACCAGTTCAAATTCCGCCTGAGTCAATCTCTTTGAACAGCCAATACAGCATTGAATTCATAAATCAAAACACCTATATTTTAAAGCCACAACAGATACAATAACAAAAGATGGAATAAACATGTTCTTGCTATCAGGGTAGAGCTAAGCAACTGGTCCGAGCTGGTTATAAGACCCTTCGTCACTTAGCCCACGCTGACCCCACGCAGCTGGTTCAAGAGGTGGAACATCTGCCCAAGAAAGTCGCCCAGCAGATCGTAGCTGCTGCAAAGGTACATATTTGCCGTTTTTTTTTGTTTTTTGAAAACCACTATGAAAAAAATGTAGTAAGGAGACCTTTCAATTTTGAATTTGAAATTGGGGCTGGAAGCATCTTTCTATTGGGGCGCCCTTCCAAGCGGACACTATCGGACAAGGTGGCGCTCTTCGTGGTGGTAGAATTAAAGACATTCGCGTGACATTAAAAAGGGGGCACTCATGAAAAAAGTTTGGATACTATCGCCCCATAGACTTGTGTATACATGAATCCTAATGTCAAAATCACCAAATCTTGATATGTGCACGCATGACGGAACACCCAAACTAGCTTCAACATTAATGATAGCCTGAACATGGGTGAAACTTCGTAGTGATGAAAGAACCTTTCACAACATTTCTTTCCGTTTAGATGGAGCTTGCAGAGAGAGCAGAGGCCCTGAGGGAAGAAGCTGAAGAACTGGTGACTAAACCAGCCGTGGAAAATGAGATGGCGACAACAGATGAACCGAGAGATACAGAAAACGGTAGCCAGGCTAGAAAAGCTGACACAGGTACTGGGACCTAGGCTATACATCAACAGAAATGTTCAGAAAATACCTCATGTGTAAGGCGTTGCGGCAAAATGAGACAGAACTGGGCAGAAGCCGAAATGAGGGTTTGCAGGTATTAGGAAAGCAAATCAAATTCTCCTTACAATACTGATTATTGCACTTCAATCGGACATACCATTGACAAGTTATGGCTGTTGAGAGTTCGCTTTTATCAACATGTCAAAAAAGTAAAACAATGAGAAAAAAAGGCCGTTTAAAGTTTCGAATGGTTTGAAGTCGTGAACAAGAAAGATACAAATTGTTTTTTTCTTGAAAACACTTTTATATTTTACGATTTTTTTACTAATTCTTTAAAATATTTTATTCCACCTTTTCTATACTATTTCTTTTAAATATATGTAGTAGACATATCAAGGATTGCAAATATCAATAAATCTGAAAATAAAAAAAATCACCCCCCCCATTCCTATTTGCATTTTTCTCCACAACAGCATGTACTTAATGTGCCCAGTTCCGTCTCATTTTATCAGAACACCTCATATAAATATAAAAAATGTTTTACGGTTACATTATTTCTACTTTTAGTGTCTAGTTTTCTCAAATGTTAATTCAAAATTGGCCAAAATCAATTGTAATATCTAAAAGTTTATAAGTAATATATTTATTTGAATATTTATCTCAATGGATATTTTTATTTAAATGGCAAACTTGAAATAGATTAAAGACCCAAGTACAGAAAGTACTTGAATCACATAACTATGAGAAATGATTAATGGCGTTAATAAGTGGAATGAGTTGAATGAGCATGCAGAAAGCACTTACGTTTTTCACAGATGCGCTACCATTGTAATATCTACTGGTGTTTAGCACAAGAAGTACTTAACTCCTTGATTGGCCAATGAAAACACTTGGAGGTGTTGTGTGACCAGCTTGCCTCTAGTTTTCTCAGGCATGCAACTGGGAAGTCACAAAAAAAGAGGAAATTCAAATCTTTCCAAGACTTTGTACAGTGTTTTTCTATTTTCAATGGCACACATGGGAAGTAAAAAAAAGAGGAAATCAGCTGATCCGAGGAAAAGTTGCATGCCTGTTTTCTTATCTTACCCTTTACCTCCAAGCAAACAGTATGAAAAATCAATGTTGGCTCATTTGCACAAGGATGGCTTTCAGATTGGTTGGGTTTTGGTCATTAAAGTACCAAGTCCTGCCATTTAGGGGAGAAGTGCTTAAGTCCAAAATCCAATTATCTTAATTAGTTCACTCCAGATGGAGATATCCCCCCCCCCCCCAAAAAAAAAATCTGGAGAATCCATATGGACCAATTCGGGTACGCTGTCAACTCTGTCTTGAAGGCCCCCTTTAATGGCGAATGCATTGTGCTAGCTATTGTCCAGATAATCCATCACGGGGCAGTTGCTCTGTACAATATCCTGCACAATGGTTTCTCCACTGTTGGGGGACCTCGTACGTGTACAGGCCATATCGTGTGTTTCCCTTGCAAAATGCGACTTACAGGCAATTTGGAAAACTTTAACCATCAATACATTGTATTTCAAAAGAATGATTATGTGACTTAAGTACTGTTTGCAATCAAGACTTCATTGAAGTGGCAGCAAACACTCATCCCAAAGCAATCACTTTTGTTATCTGGGTACGATATTTATTCTAGTGCAGAATTAGGAGATAACAAACCAAGCTGTCTGTTTTTCTATCTATCGGTACTTTTTTCTGGGTAAATTTTGGGGAATGTCCAGTTCATGGTGCTGATTATATGTTTCTGATAGAACTTTTTGTCAGAGTCCTTTGTTCATGGAAGCAGTATTTCCAGGAAAGTACAATCTTTAAAAGAACAAATTGGCAATAGTACCGGTACATTTCTTTTTCAAACAAATAGTCCAAGTAGACCTTAGATTCCTGATTGAACTTTGCCAACAGATTTTGAAACTGAAAAAAATATATAAATTCAGAACCAACGTCTGTAACTTTTGGCAATTTTTGCTGGTCCCAAAGGGCACGCCTAAAGTTGTGAGCCAGGCAGTGCTATTGTATAGGATTACCCTGTAACGCCAATGAATGGGCCAAATCTGGCCCTTTGTGTAGACCAGATGCATGAAAGGACTCACAGTAAATAGTCATTCTGAATCAATGAAATAGATTTTTGTGCACTCTGCATGCGACCAACTTTAGGGAACGTCTCAAAAAGTCGGAATGCTTGGAACGTTCCTCAGGGGAACATCGCCTGTTCCAATTGGGAACATGCGTTGTTCCCACTGGGAACAGCCCTGGCATGCCAGGTGTTCCTGCGTGGGAACATTGGTCTATGCGCGTGCTTGCTAACTCAGGAACAGCCTGTCCCAGTGTTTCTGAAAGGAACGTTCCATACGGAACGAGAACTTTCCGACTTTTGAGACGTTCCCTTGCTAGGCTTGCCTTAGGTCTTGTATTTTTGGCTTCATTTTCTGAATTGCTACATTTGGTAAACACATTTCTTAATAATGATCCTTTCCACCAATGATTGCGTGAGGACCTTTCATAGAACTGAGAAACATCCAGCCGTGTAGAACGGATATTGCTGATTAGTGCATGTGGTAATCATAAACATGATGAGTTCACCATCCTTGCGTAAAGAAAAAAAGGCTTGACTGAGAGAGCGTGCCATATCTGTGGTCAGTTGCTTGGAAACATTGCTACGCAGGACAGCAGGATGATGTATCAAGCCACAATTTTACATGACATTGTGTGTGAATAAGAGATGATTAATGCTTTAGACGCATGCATGACGTAGTTGCGCTGAAATGACGGAAAAAGTACAAGTGACTTTGGAGAAACGTGAAGTAGAATCAGGGTTTAATTACTGAAAACACTCCACAGTCAACCAACCGAACAATGTGCAACATTCGTGGTCAGGTTTTTTTTAAACATATCTTTTGGGTTGTACAAACAGCTAGCTTGGCAACTACAGAGTATTACTGGTTTTAGTTTTATACAGTGCATCATTTTTTTTTAGGGGGGACCTATAGTAGAAACGTACCAGCAAAAAGGAGATTCAATAGGACATATTTGTAGAATGATTGTAATAGATATGATGCTTTTTACTTTCATTTCTTTGGTTTGGGTTAAAAATGTTTACAAGTGTAATTCGAAACAAAATGGCCTAGAAAGCAATGAAGGTAACAGACTCTGTACACTTGGCTATAACTTCATGGCTAATACGGGCGATTCACAATAGTGCGCGTTTGGAAAAGTTCGACTGATTTCTCGCATTGTGATTGGCCAACGCGTTGCAAACTCTTGGAGGTGCACTATTGTGAATCGCCCATATTGGCTGATTGTCACAGCATTCATGAAGTTCCATTCAACACAAGCTACTTAAAGCATGTTAATGAGGCCATTCCCTTTTTGCAACTAACCGTCAGGCTTTTGGAAGGTAAAAGCTCTATCTGCCTCCATAATTATGTAAAAAGTACATTTTGAAATTCTAGTTTACTCGAAAATAGACAAAAGCTTCATTCATTGTCATTTGGATCATTCTAAAAAAAAAAAAGTGGAGTCCACTTTCTTCCCTAGTGCCTGTTACATCTGACATCTGTGATTTTATCATTTTGATGCACTCGTTAATACAGTTAAGAGTAAGTATGAATAGCACACTATACCTACCCAAGAAAATCATTCGAAGTAATTCGTAATTGTATACTTCAATGGCAAATCACAAAGTTAAAAGGTAGCATGGACAGGAACATTGTCACACTCTGGACCCTATATTTATAGAATGACCCACTGGACAAATGTTCCCACATGGACCAACAAATGTCAGAAGTTTTTGTATGAACATCAGTAAGCACCGTTAACCAACCCCCAAAAAAGGAAAACGCACATGTAGATATTTGACTTGTTTCCAGTGCATGCTACCAGGTGAAACACTTTCTCAGTAGTGCATGTTAATATTGAACCCACAAAGAGTACAATCCATATTTTAAAACTGTTATTTATGAACTGAAGTATTAGACGCTTTGTGTGAATTTACTTCTTTAAAGTACATTCCTTCTGTTTTAACCCCGGATGGGCCTTTTTGAAGCACCCTCACTCAGTCAACATATATGGTTCAATTAGCTTGTTTCCAGTTTGAACTAATTACTTGTGGTACAATTATACCCAAAGTGAAATAATTAAATGTCGGTACAATCTGGCCAAGGTTAGTGGCATGGTTCCAAGCCCTGCAGATAGTAAAAACAACATTCAAATTTCAGTTATTTCTTGTCAATGCTGATTATTATTGAAATTATCTTGAAGATGTCGTGCGAAGAATTTTATTTATTGTATGTACAGATGTTCAACGCTTGTATAAACACACAAAACTGTGGCACTGATAATGTTGTATTTATTATTCTATAGGGCTCTATGTATAGATTCTATTCTGTATAGGAGGTGATTGGAGTGTCGAAATCCAAATTATTTTCAAGGGGTGGGGGTGAATGAGGCATTAATTAACGTTGCAGAAGACCAAAGGCCTGAAGTAATGAAATATGCTCAGCAGTACTGAGTGATGATATTATTCACTATTAAAAATAGGAAATTTGGTAACTTTTATTCCACTTGGGAAAACATTGGTCAGTCGCAGAGTGTGGAGTTGGTTTGAATATCAAGATTCAATCAGACACAAAAGGCACAAATAAGTATGAAACAAACAAAAATACTAAAACCACAACCAAGGAAAGGATACAAAAAAAGATATAGTGCATGTATTTGACTTCTATATCTTTATGTGATACTATGGCATTTCAGTAATATCCAAATGCAATAATATTGCTCATGTCATCTTGATATCTTTCAACTCTTTTCTTTTAATTTTGAAATCCCATTTAAAATCAAATCAAAATCTATACTCTCCAAGCAGGTTTTGGGATATTTTTCTCACAGAGCGCGGGATTAAAATGACATGTATGTATTAAGTGTTAAAAATGCACATTTTTGTGAGTGTATTATGCTGGTATTAAAGATGTAAATAGACAAAAAATCTTCATCTTCAGTATGTGGCTTCTTGCGGTAATAACCCTGTTGTTGTGCAACTCCATGTTCATTTTATAGAGTGCAATTAAGCAAATGTGAGGTTGTATTGATGGATTTGCTACTCTGACCGTTAAGATTGTACAGTTTCGTATTATTTTAAGCTAACCATTGTTATGCATGTACTCTGTGCATACACTAGATGGTGCTAACAACAGAAGGCTGTGCAGGAACATGTTGAAGTTTGCTGATACTAAGGTGTGATTTTGCACAATGGCAAGAACTAATGTTCTGGTTC